AAAGATTTTTCTGCAATAGTATAATCATAAAACAAAAGTAAGACGCAAATGATTTATCATGTGCTGGGGGGAAATTATTTGCACAATATTGGACCGATTCTGACGCTAAAAAGTCTCCTTGCTCTATCTTCATGAAGGGCTTGGCAGTTTAAAAATCGCAGGTATTTCGTACTGCATTTCTAAAGGCTATTGTTGCCAATTATGATTTCATGATCCTTTCTGAAGTTAATCTTTACACCGAAAGTGAAAATAAGAAAAGGATTTATCGTGTAGACATGATTAAAAAATATAAACCAATTCTGAAGCTAAAAAGTCTCCTGATCAATATATTCCAGTCCGTTTAAAAAATGACAAATTGAAGCTGAAAATCAATCAGCTACCGATTAAATCAAGTTCATAAGAAGATCGTAAGAAATAAGTAAATGCTGTCGACTCCCAGAAAAAAAATTTCAATTTTCCCAAGTGTTGAAGATTTTTAAAATCTCCCGATAATACATGTGAATCCGTCGGTTTTGAGTTGGATATTCATTAATAACATTTCAAAGATCAAAAAGCAATTAACAAAATAAGCGAAAAATGCTCATTTCCGAAAAATTCCTGGGGGATTCTGAAAATGATCCCATGGAAATCACGATAAATTTTGCGCAGTAATTGAAACTTTATTTTAAATCAATTTTATATAAATTCTAGCGCAGTACAAATTAGTATTGTGAGGATGATTTTTTTCTTGGAAATTCAACGTGGATAAAATTTCATGATGAAATTCGACATGAAGCAAATGTGCAAAAGATTTCTAAAAAATCAATTTCGGATTCAGCAAAGGAAATAGAACCCGTCGGAAAATTAACTTTCGTTTCCATTTCAAGCCAATTTAAAAGATTTAAATTCAAGCACAAGACAAGCGCAAAAAAAAGAGAGAGAAGGAAGCTAACCCCACAATTATGACAAAAAAAGGGATCCTTCCCGCGCAATTAATCGAGCTGTGCGAGTTCCTCCTCACTACTGCTACTACGGCAGGACTCAGCTGTCGTAGATCCTCTTGTCGACAGCACGTCACGAGGCGGATAAATCCCGGAAACGACCGGATCCGAATCGACAGCGTCAACGGGTGATACGACAGTGTCGGTGTCCTTATTCCCGGGCTCGAGCGTCACTTCCTGTGGCGCTTCCGGCTCGAGCGTCACTTCCGTACCCGACAGGCGTCGAACGACTCGTCGCAATGATTCCCCAGCCACGTTGGCACCTGACGAAGACCAGGGCGCTGACGATGTCGCCGAAGACATCGACGGTGACGTTGACGTCGACAGGCATTTGATCGCCGCTGAAAACCTATGGTGTGTGACGAGAATACAACGCACATTTTTTGCTACTTCGGATTTATTTTTTTCATTATTCTGGCAACGCTTTCAAGGAAATTGTCATTTTTAGGTGTCATTCGTTTTTTTCATTTTTATTTTGTGCTTCAGAAGTCAGAAACTTTTTTGAAGCATGAGTGAGAACAAAAAGGATTTTTTGCAACATTTTGAATCAACGTGATTCTTCAAGGCATTTGATCGCCGCTGAAAACCTGGGGTGTGACGAGAATACAACCCAATTTTTTGCTACTTCGGATTTATTTTTTTATTATTCCGGCAACGCTTTCAAGGAAATTGTCATTTTTAATTATCATTCAATTCGTTTTTTTAATATTTATTTTGTACTTCAGAAGACACGACACTTTTTTGAAGCATGAGTAAGAACAAAAATGATCTTGTGCAATATTTTGAATCAACGTGATTCTTCCAAAACTCGACTCCACTGAAGATTTCAGGGTAATTTCAAAACCCATTTGAAAGTGGTCGGCTTTCAGATGAAATTTAACTAACATTTTTAAGCGATATTTTTCTTATTTCATTACAGTGAGACCCTGAGATGCGGATAAATTGGTGCATCAAGAGTGTCCTGATGTCAGAATGTCCCTAAGTTGAGTCTCATTTTCCTTTAGACTTCAAAGCTAATGTATTTAATTGGTTCTCCTCTATGACAAAAATTAGAAATAAGTCCTCAAAAAATGTAATAAAAATGGTTTTCCTCGATTTCTAATTATTGCATGTAGAAAAACACTCTGCAGAACAATCCCACATGGAATCTTATCTTTTGGTATCAGAAGGAGATCAAAAAGCAAAGAAAAATAATGAGTCTTGCTAGAATATGCGCAGATGATAGAAAAAAAACACTGAAAACAGAAGCACACAATCAGCTTGGTTTTGATTATGAATTAGAGTAAATTTATCATGACATATTTTTTCCATTTCTCTGAATTTAAATAGCTTGATTTGTTCAAATGATATCAAAAATGTAAAAATAAATCGCATCAATTTTTGAAAAAATTACAGAAAAGTGCTCCTAACTTGAGCCAATGTCCAGATGTTAGGCCTAATTTCTTTGGTTTTCAAGTGTCTCCAAGTCAAATTGTCCACATGTCACCTGGGTATCCACATATATATCAGGGTCTCACTGTATTTACTGTTCATCTTTAGCACAATGATGAACTTGTTCCAGCTACTGTACTTATCATCTTCCGACCACGGTATTTTTGATAAAGTACAACACTCATATTAACTTCCGTCCACTTGATAAAGGAATTTATAAAACGCGCTATTTTTATATTTATAATGGGTAGTCTCGACGGTCTAAGGAAAAGATTACTTGTAATGGCTCTGAAAGGTTTCTCCCATCGCTTCCGACGTATTTCGTGCAAGGCGTGCTTCTTCTTCATCATCTCTCGCTCTTTGTCTTGTAGCATTGCCTCAGCAGCGCTCTTTGACGCCTCTGTCTCAGCCACTGTCAAACCTGCACATCCATTAAATAAAATTCGATTATTGAGCGATTTTGTAAAGCTTAGGTTTATATCATGCTTGCTTCTGATGAGGAATTTTCAACAGATTTTGAAAAAAAAAATTAAAAGGGAAAATACACTTTAAATGTGACTAAAAATTCCTCAAAATGTAAATTTTGATGCATTTTATTTTCAAAACATTACAATTTTTGTCTCTAAATGCAAATCTTACTTAGGGATAAATTTTCAACTGATTTTTTTCTCCTGAGAAATTCAGGAGGAAGTCTTTTTTTGAGGACATATTATACAGTTATTGAGTAAATATGGTGTCTTATGGATTGTATCAAAAGCAATAGCTTAATTTTCTTGAGAGATATCAACATTTAAAAAACTGATTTTTCAATTTTTCCAGAAATGTTGGCAGCTTTTAAATACAGTACTTTGTGTTTGAAGTGCTGGTAAGTCAAATGGTCTGTATATTGGTGCCTCACTGCACATACCTGGACAGGGATTTTTCAACTTGGTAGGTTACTGTACAGAATTCCATATATGTCCTTTAAAAGTTCAAGATTTTTCTCAACACAGTTTCGATAAGTTGAAGCAGATTCATAAAAATGTTCAATTAGATTAACGTGATGAAAGAATTGAAATAGCATGGATTCAATTCAATTTTATGGATTTATATACAATACACAAGTATTCCCAGACCCACAGTCTGCAGAGAGGAAATTTTCTGCAGCATAATAAATCAACAAAAGTAGCTATGAAGTTGGTATCTTCCATCTGAAATGTAAGAAAGATAATGGCAGTTGAAATTATCTGATGAAAAAATTTAAAGTTGGCTTTTCTTCCAAAAACACTTCAGACAAATTTTCACCTGCTAAAAGAAATTATTATTTTTTTTTTATTCTGCAAAACCTTTCTTCAAGCCCACCATTCTAATTTTTTTGAAGACATTCCACTATATATAGCTGCTTCATTCATTCTTGAATTTTGCAAAAAGGAGAAAAATTTTAAATGCCTGCCATAAAGTCTTTCAAGCAAGATTTTTTTTTAGTCTGCAAAAATTTCATGAAACTTAGCCTCAGCAGCGCTCTTTGACGCCTCTGTCTCAGCCACTGTCAAACCTGCACATCCATTAAATAAAATTCGATTATTGAGCGATTTTGTAAAGCTTAGGTTTATATCATGCTTGCTTCTGATGAGGACTTTTCAACAGATTTTGAAAAAAAAATTAAAAGGGAAAATACACTTTAAATGTGACTAAAAATTCCTCAAAATGTAAATTTTGATGCATTTTATTTTCAAAACATTACAATTTTTGTTTCTAAATGCAAATCTTGCTTAGGGATAAATTTTCAACTGATTTTTTTCTCCTGAGAAATTCAGGAGGAAGTCTTTTTTTTGAGGACATATTATACAGTTATTGAGTAAATATGGTGTCTTATGGATTGTATCAAAAGCAATAGCTTAATTTTTTTGAGAGATATCAACATTTTAAAAAATTATTTTTCAATTTTTCCAGAAATGTTGGCAGCGTTTAAATACAGTACTTTGTGTTTGAAGTGTTGGTAAGTCAAATGGTCTGTATATTGGTGCCTCACTGCACATACCTGGACAGGGATTTTTCAACTTGGTAATAAGTTACTGTACAGAACTCCCTATATGTCCTTCAAAAGTTCAAGATTTTTCTCAACACAGTTCCAACAAGATGAAGCAGATTCATAAAAACGTTCAATTAGATTAACTTGATGAAAGAATTTAAATAGCATGGATTCAATTCAATTTTAAGGATTTATATACAATACACCAGTATTCCCATACCCACAGTTTGCAGACAGGAAATTTTCTGCAGCATAATAAATCAACAAAAGTAGCTATGAAGTCGGTATATTCCATCTGAAATGTAAGAAAGATAATGGCAGTTGAAATTATCTGATGAAAAAATTTAAAGTTGGCTTTTCTTCCAAAAACACTTCAGACAAATTTTCACCTGCTAAAAGAAATTATTTTATTTTTTTTTATTCTGCAAAACCTTTCTTCAAGCCCACCATTCTAATTTTTTTGAAATGTAAGGTGATATATATCGACGAAGTAAGTAAGAACTTAAAACGTTTTTCCTCTTTTTAAAATTTACGGACGGTATTTCAGAAAGTTCGTTCTAAAAAAAAATCAGACGTTTTTAAAGTACTTTGAATGCTGGTCTGCAAAAAAATGTTATGGAAATTTGCTGGTTATGTTGAGCCAAAAAAGGTTGGGGAACACTGCTGTACACAATAGCACACACACACACACACACACACACCATGGTGATTTCATTTTTCACAAATACTGACTGTTTTCCCGCAATTGTTTGGCCCTTTCTTTCCACCAGGCCAGCTCCTTTTTCGCCAGGTCCAGTTTGTTCTTGATGCGTTCGTTAGCCCCTCGCTGATTCAAGGCATCTCGCTCCAATTCCTTCTGCCTGTCGGTGTCTGACTACTCGGTGACCTCGAGAAGGTGCGAAACGAGGAGAACGACGTTGCGGACGCCCCTTATTATTATTGTTATTATTGTCTCCGGAAACAACTAAACAACTACCGCGTTCTTTCTCTCTCTCTCTCTCTCTTTGTAGTCTGTTTGGTTCTTCCAGTTGGAATGACTGAAGGCCTTTTGCAGGGGGGGAGGGGGGAAGGGGTTGCCCCAAGGGTGAAATTGGGTAAGAATTTACTTTGAGGACAGGAAAGGTTCAATTGATCTTCAACAAATTACTGCAATAAAAGTGTCAAAAATATCTCAATAACAAGAGAGAGATTATTGTTGCAATTGTTAGAAATAAAAGACTTGATCAGCTGGGCTGTGGCTGGGGCAAAGCCCTAGTTTAATGTTGATATATTTTGGTTTTTATAGGGTGAACACAAGAATTTTTCTGATTATAATTTTTGAAATTTCAAGAACAGTTTTTCAAAGGGTTTGGACATGCAAATAAAATCCAACAATTGACAGTAGACACTTGCTGTGAGGTCTACTCAGCTTGAAAAGTCTGAATTTGAATGATGATGATAGTTGGCCAGAGTTGACCAAGAAGATTATTTCAATGAAGAAATGAAAGGAGATGTCTTTGCAAACTTTCAGAGATTTCCCAAAATAGTCCTTGAAGGACAGCACTTAAACTCAAAGACTGTGGGAACTAAAGGTCAACTTCGGTCCCACAAAATTCCCAAGAAGATTAGTTTGAACTTTGTTAATTCCTTAAACTTGTATTTCTAGATAACCCTTTATTTTATTTTTGACAGCAAGTGACATTTCTAAAGAAATAAAAATTTAAAACTAAATATAGAATTGCATATAGAAATTAAATTCAATGGCTACATATACAGAGCAAATAATTCAATTATTTGTTGAAAACCTGTTTTTCAAACAGGTATAGATTTCATTGTGACCCTGAGGGTGAATATGCTGATCAGGAACACTTTGAGGAGTGGAAAGGGCAATTCATCTTTAACAAATTACTACATTAAAATTTAAAGTTTCATAGAAGTATAAGTTGATGACTAATGCAGAGAAAATAATTCGATTATTTGCCAATACAATAGTTTTTCAATCAGGTTTTGATTTCTTGAGTTGATTTTTTTCTCTGTCTCTCTCATCATTGCGCCACTGTAATACATCAGGGATTTTCAAGGATTATTCAAGTGAAATTATTTTTTCGAAACGGGATTTTAAAAAGCGTGTAAAAACTCTTATTCAGAATCGTATTTCCTGAGGTGCAGATGTCTGATTTTTTTCATTTTAAAATCAGGTTTTGATTCCGTTGTGCTCGTCTTTCTTTCTTTTTTTTCTAGTTTCTTTCATTGCCTATACAAATGCATCACGAAATTGCAAGGGTTCTTTCATTGAAAACTTTTTTACTTCAATCTTTAAAATAAGGTGTGAAAGCTTTTGCGAATGATATTTTTAAAATTGTATTTCAATTTTTTCTGTTTCCTGGATCCCCAGAATAATAGCCTTGAGGTCTACATAAATTTGAGTTGTATAGTGGTTTCAGAGGAAATTCTACAAAAAAATCCACATAGAGAGGATTTGGATTTTAGGAAGGTTTGAGTTACTATGGTTCAACTGTTTAATGTATCCAACATTCTTCTCTTAACCAGGAATAATATCTGAGCATAAGAACGCATAACCTAATAAAAAACGTTGATTTATTGGGGTTTGAAATCTATATGCGGTAAGTTAGTTTTGGACCAGGTTAAGTCGAGACCACTCTGACGTTTCAAACGGAGCAAGAACCTAGTCGCTAAAGTTGAGGAGTTAAACGTTCAAATCTGTCCAAGTTTCCAAGTTTTCCGCATTTGACTTGAGCTTCAACATGTGATCTCTATACTTCATAAACACCCGACATTGTCGTCTGTTCGGCTTTGTACGTGGTCCCTACTAGGTTATTCGTCTCTGAAGGCTACAACGTCCATAAGGACCTACATGTAAGTAACCCAAGTTGAGAAGGCGGTATGCTGGTTTAAATTATTTCGGGGAGAACTTATTTTCAAAGAGCGGAAGACAGTAGGGAAAACTGAAGAAAAACTGGGGTGTTTACGAAGGTCTCAGTTTCGATGCAAGAAAAAATAATGATTTGCTGGTTAAGGAAAATGAAGGCAATCTGAAACGTGTTATTGTTAGGGAATTAATCGATGCATCAGCAGAATATATTCGATAAAATATCCGATTTTTTGAGACGAGAATTAGATTTTTCAATTCAAAAGTTTGCTGAATAACTCTCATGAGAATATTACATTTCATTGGAGAGAAAAATAAACGCAAACTTTCGTTCGACGAAATAATTACGTACAAATTACAGAAGTGTTAAAAACGTCGGCCAATTTGTATCAATTCGATTATGCAAATATTGTCTTCTCAAGCTATAATTTATCTTCAATTTTCAGCGAAATGTAGCGTTAAAATTTGCGGTAATCTGGCGATCTTGAAGGGATGATTACCTCCTGGTGAATTTTCCACGGTGGAAAAATATTCCCCTTCCGAGAAAATGATATGAATTAGTATAGATAATTATGGCTGATTAGTTTAGCACTCAGTAGTAGCTAGGATTAAAATCTTGCATTCATTGAAGTCAAAACAACGTTTTTGGCAAGATTTTGTTCGATGTTCTTCCCTTTCTAGGCAGGAATTGGAACAAACGACGAACGTTTTTCAAAGAAATTTAGCAGTTCGAGGAAATTTTGCGTTCTTTTCAATTTACATATAACTTTTTATTAGTTTGCGTCTTTCGAACCTTGACTAAAAATAGTCAACCCAGTGAATCACCTTTTAGTGGATACATTTTGACTTTGAAAACATTTTTCTATATACTGTATTTTTTGCATTTTATTTTCGACTTGAGCAGATATTTTTTTTTCAAACATGGGAAATAGAGAAAAATTGGGTAAATTACTAAAAACGCAGCATAAACGTCCTTTTTCTGTTTTAGAAACATTTAAAAATATTATTGTACGTCGGTTTGAAAAATCCGCACTTTCCACAGCATCACAAAAATGTAGATTTCAATCAGTTTCATATTATGCGTCAGAGTTTGATTTTTAATCCGCGGCTTCACCATCAACGATAGGGCTGTAACAGCAGACAAGCCGAAACATGCACCAGGGATGATCCAATAAGCAGAGACTTCCGATGTTGCAGGTATTCCTGGATGTACATTCATTGGGTTCAACTCTTCCGCCATACGACCAAATTTAATTTCGGGGAGAACTTATTTTCTCAGCAAGGAAAACTGAGGAAAAACTGGGTGTTTACGAAGGTCTCAGTTTCGATGCAAGAAAAAATAATGATTTGCTGGTTAAGAAAAATGAAGCCAATCTGAAACGTGTTATTGTTAGGGAATTAATCGATGCATCAGCAGAATATATTCGATAAAATGTCCAATTTTGTTTAAGACGAGAATCAGATTTTTCACCTCAAAAGTTTGCTGAATAGCTCTCATGAGAATATTACATTTCATCGGAGAGAAAAATAAACGCAAACTTTCGTTCGACGAAATAATTACGTACAAATTACAGAAGTGCTGAAAACGTCGGCCAATTCGAATATGTAAATACTGAACTGTATATTTTATTTTCTCAAGCTATAATTTATCTTCAATTTTCAGCGTAATGTAGCGTTAAAATTTGCGGAAATCGGGTGCTCTTGAAGGGTTGATTTCCTGCTGATAAATTTTCTGCGGTGGAAAAATATGTTTTTCGAGACGATGATACGAATTATTATGGATAAATATGGTTGATTAGTTTAGCACTCAGCAGTATAGCTAGGATTAAAATCTTGCATTCATTGAAGTCAAAACGACGTTTTTGGCACGATTTTGTTCGAAGTTCTTCCCTTTCTATTAGGCAGGAATTGGAACAAACGACGAACGTTTTTTCAAAGAAATTGAGCAGTTCGAGGAAATTTTGCGTTCTTTTCAATTTACATATAACTTTTTATTGGTTTGCGTCTTTCGAGCCTTGACTAAAAATAGTCAACCCAGTGAATAACCTTTCAGTGGATACATTTTGACTGTGAAAACATTTTTCTATGTACTGTATTTTTTGCATTTTATTTTCGACTTGAGCAGATATTTTTTTTTAAACATGGGAAATAGAGAAAAATTGGGTAAATTACTAAAAACGTGGCATAAACGTCCTTTTCCTGTTTTAGAAACATTTTTTTTATAATAACATGCAGCCAAACTTTTTAGGCGTGAAAGGTGTCGTAGTGTTTTTACATCTAAAGTTAGTCAAAGTATAATACGCAGTCTCAAACTAAAAATTAGGCGCCGAAGTGGTAGTTGCTATAAACTGAAAGAATAATCTTTAAAATAGTCCACGTCTCAGTACTGGAGTTGTTACGGTTGAAAATAACACGCGATTATTCTGCAAGCGTGCCCAAGTTGCAGTGCAATTTTATTTTTATTTTCGCAAGCATCAAAAGTGATGAAAATAGTGTACAATTAATAACGTTATAATCAAGACAGATAGCAATCTAACTGCCAAAAGGCTGAAATTATAGCGCCTGACAATATCTCATTATCAAAGTATTGATTCTAGAATATATGTCTTTTGTTCCGCTATTCCTCAAAATCGCTTGTTAAACTCGATTACTATAGAATCAACTGTCACTTCTGATGTCATTAAGTGTTGAAAGCCATGTGATTAAAGATGCCATTGCCGTGAAATTCAGAACTCCGTTTGATACAATTACCACGTATGCAAGATTCTTCGTCTCAGTACAAGGAAAATGTGGGCAACGAAAAGACCTACGGAAAATTCGGATGTTGAAGAAGCTGCTGTGATTGCTTTGAATACCAAAAAAGTTCATTTGCATCAGAATTGCAGGTCTTGGAGAGTGGGGAAACTTTTCAGATATGCTTTCATAGCGGTTTGTCTGGGCCTCATGGCTGATCAGGTAAATCTATATGGCTTGAAATTGTGGAAGACTTTTCGGAATTTTCTATTATTTTTGGTTGTCCTATGCGCAAGAAAGTTTGAATATATTCAACTTTGCTTAAATTTAAAAAGACTTGTCCGAAAATGTTCAGGGCAGGTTTGCAGAAAGTGTGACTCAACAATCATCAGTGTGGAGACCACAAAAATATGCACACATAATTTCTCCAACTGTGTTCATACCTTATAGAAAATCCACATGTTCGATCACAATTTCCCATAGTGAACTTCGAGGGGCAATTTTCATCATTTCTCTTACTTCTAGAAAATTGAAAAACATTATCCAAAATTCCAAATAAAAAATTGTATTGTTCAATTAAAAACAGAACGTAATTGTGCAGAAGCGGAAGCCACACAGAATGTGCCCTTCAAGCTAAAAATGGCTCAAGAATAGGCAAAAAATAAGCTCACTGACTAAATACATATTACTTCATTGTGCAAATTTGATGGAAGAATCCACAAAGGAAAATGGTGCCTTGTTTTAGAAGCTAAATTAAAGCGCATAAAAATTAGACCAAATTTTCGTTGAAGAACTTCAAAAAAAAATTCAATATTTGAGGATCCATAGGTAATTTTTTCATGATTTACTCGAACCCCACTTTACAGCAGTACTTTTTCTTCTGTGCCAAATGAATTGTCTGCAATGACAATAAGATCATTCAACAATTTATTTGTCCAAAAATGATCTATAAATTATAACTGGGGCTTGAAATATTTAAAAGGCCAATTAAAAAATCATAAATTTACAATGACAGTAATACAAATAAAATATATACAGGGACATCCGAAATGAATACATAATTATTTCCACCTGTTTTACCATATTGCAGAAAGTTAATCCCAATTGTCTAAGCTATCATACAGTCCCAATATATATAGGCTTCTATTTGGTGTTCCGTCTTCTGAACTTTTACCTCACCCTATAAACATTTACGGTCACGATATGGAAGTTCAAAAATAATGAAAATGCTGGTGGTCAACCCTCTGTCATGATCATGTTCAAAATTCGAAAACAAACAAGAATAATCCCGGCTACTTTGTTTTGGGCCTTCACGGAAATAGAAGAAAGGCCTTAGGTCATTTTAGAATACCATTCCAGATAATGCACTGTGAATGGCAAGGGTAAAGTATGAGTGAATTCATAGATGTCGCTTGTAGTCCCAAATTTGTTTCAATCTCTTTTCTTCAGATATCCCAAGTTTCAAATACAGTATATGGTGCCACTTAGATTCCTCCTGAGATAGCATTAATAAGAGCCTAATAATGCACGAGGCAAAGGATAATCACTATCGCAAGCATGACTATAATGAGAAAGCTAGCGAATGATTGATTCTGTCTCGCTATATGGACTCCTGAACATTATCTCCATGTAACTAGATTACCTATATCGTAAGGTACAAATAGAATCTGTTATTATCGGATTCACAAGTACGAAAAGGATAAGGTTTCTCGTGGGTTTTATTTTCCTCACTTTTCTCCAAAACAGACCAGGATTTGCGTGGAAAAGTTGCTGAACCCACCAATAGTGTCCAAAGTGGAAATAATTTCCAACGAAACAATTTGGTACCCGGCCGTCACGATCTGCTCAGATTTCCGAAACAGATTCAAGCAATCTGAGATTTTGGCACACGGATTAGGTTGGCAAGACGGAGCTCCGAAAATGGGCAGCACCAACTGGAAAAACTATTCCTGGGCAACTGTACCCCTTGAGGATTTCTGGTCTAAAGCCGCTTGGGTCACTGAGGAGATTATCCAAGAGATCACTTTCTCCAAGGAAAAATACACATCCAAGAACAACTACACAGCTACAGGCAGGTGGATCCATTTGACAGAAACATCCCGCCTGTTTTCTAAATACTGTACGGCAAAATCTCATCACACCAAATACTAATACAAAACATTTTTCAGTGTCACAAAATTTTTTCTGAGTCCTGGCAGAAACCGGGCCTAAGGTACATGTTTCACAACAAACTCTCCAATTTCCATTACAAAAACTTTTTTGAGGAACACATAGTGATTTTTCTTATGAAAAATCCCAAGGAAGGCAGGCACAGTATAAAATTTCCCTTTATAATATGTGATTGTGAATGGTTCTTGGGACATGAATGGCAGAATCAAGGACAACAATTATTCAAAATTCACCTGAACATCCTCTCTTTGAAAAATGTTACCTAGGTTGGGAATATGGAGAGGGGTTAAATGAAAAAATATATAAAACCAGCAAAACTCATGATGAAAGGGATGCAGTATATTTGTTTTGAGTTTGGATCCTTGAGAAACCCTACTGCTGATGCTTAACCCTTTGTGCAACAAAGTTGTGGTATTTTTGCAAAATTTTGTGCCCATGAGTACTGAAAACTTTTTAATATTTGATTTTTGCACCAAGGTGTAAGTCATACAAAATTCTGACCTTTTTTTTAATAATCCTACAAAATATTTTACCTCAAAAAAATTATCATTTACTTGCATTTTTCTGATGCTCCTATAGCATAGGACATGCTTGAAAACAGAAGGATTTGCCCTTCCGAGATTTTTCTGGACTTGGCCTTCCCAAGTACCTGCTGGGGCATTTCGGTGACCTTTGGTCAAACAAAAATGCGCCTCCCCCAAAAAATCTTAACTTTGCAGCATGATGGTCAGAAACCTTGTGCCATCAAAGGGTTAAAAACTGTAAGCTTTTTTTTAGCATCCATCCTTACAAATCTGTGCAGGAATCGCTTAGAAAACCTTGGAAGTCCATAAAAAATGCAAGTGTTCAACTGTTAATCGGAGTAAAATTTATTATTAACATTTGAATTTTATTTTTGAAGATCTCAGTTTGTCAAATATGAAGGAAAAACATCTGAAAATACCACAAAAGGAGGATCTTGAATGTAAAAAGGTTTAATTTAAAACCATCAATAATTTCAAAAATCTCATCATACTGTATTTGTTAAAACAAACTTTTTCTGAAGTCCCCATCAAGTTTGTTGGAACAAAAGTTTTACAGCAATTTTATAAATTTTTCAATTGGAAAATTCCCTTCAGGTACAATGGGAATCGTGGAAAAACACTGGCTGAGAAGCAGAGGCCAATGCACGACGTTTCACCCACAACAGCCTTCTTCAACGGACGCGAGCTACGGTTACTTCATTACTCTGCAATTGAGTCCGAGGACGACAGACGTCACTTCGAATAATACATTCAATTTCGGATGGGACATGTTTTTGTCGCGGGCTGGAGAACCTTACTTGGATTTCCTCATGTTCAAGTCGTTGGACAGCATTTCGGTCAGGATAGGGGAAGCTCTGACAGTTGCCATCAATGTGCGGGTCTACAAGGCAAAGAGCACTCATGCACAGCCTTGCGAGGAAGATGACACATACCACATGACCGAGGTTAGGAATTCACAAGAAACGAAATAACTTGACATGCTTCGATTTTAATATTCGGCACGAATTTATAAAATGGAAGGCAGACTGTTCCATTCATCAATAACCAGAAAAAACATTTAAATTGACACTCAAGGGCGCCGTGAAGTAAAACCTGGATAAGCCAACACAATTTTTTTCTGCGGTTTATTGTGGCAGTTCAACAAGCGGGTTGCTAGTTTAAAAAAAAAAGCTAAAATGATCTCAAATGAATTATGATAGGAAATAAAATTATTCTTCTAGAGATCAATCAAAACAATACATCTATAGTAATTAATCTTTCCAAGAAGTAAATTACGTATCCTTGTGTTTTTATCAATGGGAGACCTCTCACAGGAAATTAAATATTTTAGGCAGGCAATTTGTGTTGTTAATAATTTTGGCATTTGGTGGGATTTCCAATGATACTATAATTGGAGAAAATACGTTAACAAAAGAATTGGCATCTGCTGACAGTGGTATCTTATTGGGGGTGTCTTGTAACTGGGTTTTACTATTATGTCCTGATGCAACATTTCTAATTTTTGGTGGAAAAAGGGAGAATTGAGATGCATTTTACAGTCAACCTTCAATTTAATGCCTTTTATACCGGCGTATTTTGTGGCACTTAGCAAGGGTGGCACCATATGGTAAGTACTTCAAGAGAGAAAGGTTCATAACTAAGGGTTTCTATCGTAGGCAAAATAAGCATGTTCACACGTTTGTTAGGCCCCTGTATCCTTCTTATGGAAGATATCCGCAAAAAATTTAAAGTTCAAATGACTGTTTGTATAATACCGCATATTTAAAAATACTTACCAAGACGGAATATGTTCCGTTTTTACGCTTGAACTTTTGTTTTAAAAATTGTGCATTAAGAGTCATACAGTAATCCCAAACATTTCAAGGAAAGCTCCCATTTTATTAATTGTAATTTAAGGAAGATCAGGTGTCACGCAACCACAAAAATTATTTTCAACATTGTAAATTCAGGTTCAAAGTTATCCAGCATTTTTACGTGAGCATAGTAATGTTCTCAGTAATAACTAGTATTAACTAGGGATAACCCTAGAAGAAGCCCTTAATTTATTTCCTTTCGGTTCACTTTTGATTTAGGAAAAGGAATTATTTTGGCAATAAGTGATCTGGTACTATACATTGGGATTTCTCTTAAGAACACAATAGGGAGGTTTGTTCCAAGGAAATTTGTGGCACTAAATCTGGGATTGGCTGCAGTTGATAAAATCTTGCATTGGACAAAATGTAGTAAAGCCGGACCTCTCCAAACCAAATTTGAAGGGACCAACAGAAAATTTGGCTTTCAAGAGGTTTTCAGGTAGGGGAGTCGCTGAAAATGCTTGCTGCAAAATTTTAAAGTAATAGGGGCTGAATTTGTCTCTGCAACACTGTGTGTAGCGTGTCAATAAGCATTTTCATGATTATTCCCAATACAAAAGAAATGACTGAACCCTCAAGTCAGGATTTTATGGACCAATTCAATTTGCTCATTTTCCTTTCCAAAACCAATGACATTTAAATTTCCAACCCTTGCTTCTCTTCCTAAATTTTGATTACATGAGGTTCAGGTGAAATTGTTTTCAAGGTAATGCACAATACTTTGATAATGAACTAGAAAAAAATTCGAGTTGGGGATGTTGGAGTCAAAGAGGTCCAACTGTACCAGATATCCTTAGTACAAGTAGTAAGCATGGTAAAAATCGTAATTCCGAGCAACTGAGTACCGACGGCGAAGGGTTCTAGAATTCCGTTGTCCATTGTCTCAATGTGTCATATGTGAATCTTCCATCCTCGTTCAAAAATCCTGAAAAGATCCAATCAAAACTTTCAGTGCGGGATCCAGTGCATTTGGAAAATACTACTGGAATCGAATCCATACCGCTGCAAGATGCCGTGGATGGAAATCTCCGCTCCCATCTGCAAAAATTACACTCAGGCGGAATCCATTTTCAAGCAGTTGTCGTCAATATCAAATCCTCCGTTCGACGCCGTCGTCAAATCCAAGTGCAAACACTGCATCCGAACGTGTCTAAACATCCGCTACGAACCCAATATCCTCTCCAGGTCGTTGACGTCACGAGAAAATGACAAGTTCGGCGAATTGATGCTGTATTTAGCCACGGACGAATTGATGCATATCGAGGAGATGGAAGGGTACGACACCACGAATTTCCTGGGGGAACTCGGAGGAACCCTCGGACTTCTCACAGGGTTCTCTCTGCTGAGCATCTTGACAATTTTTGAGTTCATCATAGACATGATTCTGAAGCTCGTCCGAAGCATCAGCATGCGGCAGAATAACTAAACAGAAACTGGAAGATATCTACGATTTAATGCTTAAATGGAATTTTTTAAATATTCGCGCACAGTGATCTCTGGATTCGGAACGCACTTGAAAAATAAAGTCCATACACGGGAGAATCATGCAGATATGACATACGAAACTTTTTGAAGTAGAGATAAATAACGAATAAAATTACAGCAACAGAATTTACACCAGAAAATGCTTTTTAGAGCCACGTAATCATTGAATTAAAAAAAAATTCAGGGGGAAAATAAGAAAATTAGCATTAATGTCTGATTTAGAAAAGTTGTAATTGAGCATTTAATCTGATTTACAGTATGTTCATTTGCTTACATATTTTCTTTCCTCTCTTGACCATCATGTTCTTCCGGTCCAACGACTCCTCGTACTCACACCAAAGCATCCGTAAGAAAGACGATTCCCAGCCAAGAAAATTACGCAAAATTCCAAACCGGGAAGAAGCCCGTCAACGATAAATTCCATTCCAGATCATCAACACAAAAAATATCAAGACCTGAAAACTGGAGATTGAGAATCAAGAAGACGTGAGTGGAAAGGAATAGAAAGCTCTGCAAATATTCGAATTCTCACACAGACCAAATACCGTAAGATACGACGATGAAGTATTCGAAAACCTCGAGATTCATGAGGCCAAAATCCACAACTTCGTGCAAGCTTTTCAACATGGAATCCACTCACAGCAACACACTTCCGTCTGTGAAGAGAGTTTCCTTCGATGGGAAGAATTTTTCTCCAGAGACGCAAACCCTTCTTTTTTTGAGCAAAAATAAATAAAAAATGATACCGTAAATTATATGTTGGCTAAGACGACAAAGAAATGGATTCCGGATTCTAAAAAATGGTTTCTCCAATTGTAATTCCAGCAGTCTCTCAAAGTTTGTCCCCGAGTTTCGACCAGAACATCGGGAAACATGCCATGAGAGGTAACTTGAGGTAATTCGACATTTCGTCAAGCGACAGAAACTCATTCCAAAACAAAGCACTCACTCCATAAAGGCACTGACATTTCAAAGACGCCACGTAGTGGCGAAACGCCAAGAAAAGAAAAAAAGAAAAACCACGGAGAATAAACTCAGGGAGCGGCCATTAATACTGAAACAGCACTAAAAAATCCAGAGAAAAAGCGAGGATAATCACCAGCATTCAGGCACTGTCGGCACGCAATCACCAGGTACTACAAAGTCGTCAACGACGAACCAAATTTCCATTCCCTCGTATTCAAAAAATTACCAAAAATTCCTAATGGATCTTCTCCCGGGTTAAAAAAAAAACCCCTCAGGTGCACGATTGACTAGGTCGGATCAATTCCCGAAGTTTGCTTTAAAAAACGTTTTCCTTCCGTTGATTCTCGGTTCTCCAAGATGTCCGCCTCGGTGTGTGGGAATTGGTAACTCCAGTCACTCGAATAATACACACATCCAGTGCGGTTTCTTTTCATTTCTTTTTTTTTTTTGTTTCACGGAATGGCAGTGCGTGATTAGGAAAAAACACCGAGTTTCGTTTCCCACTACCGATTCACAATCTGTTTCCCTCGCATCCCATTTCTTTCTCCTTTTATTTACAGGGTAGCAAAAAAATTTCCCGCGAGGAATGCCACGAGTTCGCATACTGTATAAAAAATCTTCCTCTGAGTTACAAAAAAAAAGTAAGGCGAGCTGTTTCGTGGGCACCTCTGGATGGATTCAACGTCAGCTCACACAACTAGTTCAACACCGGGACAATTCGTTTCCTCACTGGGTCTTGAACTGCCTTGTGCGTTTACAAGCTCGGTCACTTCTAGCGTTCGAATCCTAAAAATACGTACAGTATATCCACAAAATTTACCAGAAGAAAGAAAAAAACGACGAATAAAGCATCAACTTCAACCACAAAGCATTCTCGACTTTCATACAGCCATATTACAGTATAGTATAGTATCTAATCAATAATAGCTTCGGAAATGGACGGCCAAAATTTTATGAGGCTTACTTAATCGGTTAGGACATAAATCATTTGAGCAACACCTCAACAAGACCCAAAATACCTTGCAATACAGGCTGCCTTTCGGAAACTTCAGTAATGCAAGGTTTCGAACAAATTAATCGTGTAAATGTAACCTAGTTCAATCGATTAAAATTCAGTTTCCGAAAAAGTTCAATGAGCAGTAAAATATAAAATTTTAAACTGAATTACCAGTTAGAAACGAAGAATCTCGCACATTTCTCGCGCATTTGAACAGAAGCACACTAACATTATACAAACAGATCCATGAGCATCGCAAAAATAAAATAAAAGTGCCTGAGAAATCAAGTTATTTTTGAAAATTAAAGTAAAAATACACATGGTTATTAATATTTTAGCACACGAACAGATGCGAGTTCACATAAGACATTCTTCCCGTATTCCCTCAATCACAGCAAAAACTATAGAAATAACCGCAATCAACAGAACGCTAAAAGTGACCTCATTGTAATCCAACACAGAAAGACATGTGTATCGGCTCCTATTCAAGCCGGACTCAGACCAATGCCTCTTCCTCGATTAGATTTTTTTCTCATTGTCGACCCAAACGAAAGCTAACTAGTAGTTTCTCTTCGAGGTTTCTCTGACTTGAACTTATCGAATTATTCACAAATCTTCTGTTTTTTTTTTACGTAGAGGTTTACGTACTTCTGCACGAGAAAGAGTACATACCAATTCAATGCTGATCAACACGGATAAAAAACAATGCCAAAATTACTGTACGACTGGAACTAAACTGAAAAAGTAAAAAAAAATTACATAGAATTTTCTAGCGTTCGCGGGAAAATCGCTGGAGAAGTTTGACACAATCTACAGCGTGGTACCAAAATCTCGTTTCTATCTCCACAAAACGGTTTCGTAACATCAAACGATTCTGAGAGAATGTTGAACTGAACTGGCTTCCTGAGGTACTGTAGTTAAAAAGAAATATTTCTCCAATGACGCAGTTCTGAAACCATAAATGATTGGATTTTTGAAAAGAGCGGGGGGGGGAATCTGAATTGTTTGGTAACGACGACGGAAAAAGAATTACATGGTGGGCCAACATCTCAATTTTTGGAAGGTAACTTCCGGATGGTAACCTCGCGATTCAAAAATACGACAGTTCCGGCTTCCGGGGCCGACACGCCGGACGGCCCCGGCGCAGCGACATCTACCAACTCACTCTCCTCCACCACCACCACTGAACTCGACTGCATAGGATCCTTCGGCTCGATTGTCACTTCCGCTGCGGCCACTTCCACCTCGCTCGACGTTGACGACAACGACGTTGCGGCACTCTTCTGCACCAATCCCACTTCAATCTCGTCACCCTGCTTGCTCCTGAATTTCATGAGTGGCGGCGGATGCAAAGCGCGACGAAACTTTTTCGGATGAAACACAGAGGTGATTGTCGGCTGGTGCGCGGGCGGCGGGACGGTCACTAGTTCCGCGGGCTGGTCGGCGACTTGTTCAGTGCCACAAATGGCCGCGTGTCGCTGCCACGATGCGTGATGAAGGAACGTTCGGAGGCACTTTTCGCACTTGAGCTCCGGCGTTGGTAGGGCCATGGACACTGGCGGAGCTGCAGGCGCCAAAGGCAGCAGCGGAGGTGTTGGTTGGCTTGGTATTGATTCCTCCTGAGAACCCTGCGCAAATTAAAAAAAAATCCGTCAATTTTCCTTGCAAATTCCTTTTCAGCTTGTCATATTCCAAGTACAGTACAATACTGTGAACAGTGGAACTCCAATTACTCGAGCTGCTAACGGGGTGGATCAGTGGAGGTTGTATTCCATAAGCGAAAAAAAAAATGTTTACATTACCGACATTCCCGTAATTGAACACAGCATCAGCCCATATAATTAATGAAAAAAGGGAATGAAATCGTTCAAGTTAAATTTGAAAGGAATACAGATTACAAGCCCCTCACAAAGAGCTTTCAACGATTAAAACTTCGGACGCCCGGTTATTCGGAGTATTTCTGCGCTATGCGTATACTTTTTGAGGAACTGCTACAGAAGAAGACTTTTTTTCAACGAAGAATACATGCTTGTCCTTCAGATTCGAAAAGAAGTACAGCATTTCTGAAGAAACAAGAAAGTTATGCTCATTTCCTTTCGAGAAAATTGAATTTTTCGAAGAAAGGATTCATTCACACTAGTAAAAATATACAAAAGCTGAGTATTTACTCTCATTTAAAATATAAAGCTTATTTTGCCCACTTGAACAACATTCCTCGGAATGCTGCCAAGCTCATTTTGAAGGAATTTCATCCAAGACACCGATTCAAACTCTGAATGAATTGATTTGCTGAAAGCGTAGCGTCCCCTTTCAATCCGGCGAATAGGATCGACAAAAACCGCTTTCAATGTATGTCAATAACTTCAAGCACAAACCCTTTCTGAGTCATCATTGTTCGGAAAAATATATACTCTAATATTAAATAAGTGTTGAAAAAAACGACGAAATGTAATGCAGACTGGGGATACCAAGTTTTTGCTGGTATCCCCAAAATTTCTCGGTTGAAAACCAAAACCATTCAACACTACTCACTTCTCCTTGCTCAAAATGCGTTTTCTGATGCCGCTTAAGATGCGTCTGAGTGAAAAATGAAACCGAGCAAACTTCGCACGTAAATGGTTTCGTCCCCGAATGTTTGCACAAATGCCGCTGCAAACTCGACAGGATCGGGAACGCTTTGTCGCAAGACTTATGCGGACATCGGTAAGGCCGTTCCTTGGTATGCGTTCGAATATGGACTCTAAGTGCTCCCTTCTGGCTGAAGGCTCGTCCACAGTGTTGGCAGGAATACGGTTTTTCCCCAGTGTGCACCCGTTCGTGCTTCACCACGTCACACTTGTGGCCAAACCACCGTTCACAATACGAGCATTTGAACGGTTTTTCACCCGTATGCACTTTCATATGGTCTTTGACACTTTCTGCTCGCTTGAACCTTTTCCTGCAGATCTTCATGCGCCAAGCAACAAAAAAAACAATGAAATAAATAAATGAGTAGAAAACCACGAATGCGTCAGATCGGAGAAAAAGAACTGCGAGCAATTGCAGAGAAATCATGAGATAAATTCTGTGCATCTAATCCCTCAATAGAAAGGAAAATAATTCTCATATCTTCACTAATTTGAGAAAAAGTTAAAGAAGAATGCAAGGAGTCCAACAAAGTGTCTTCGGATCAACGTGGATAAAAAAATATTTACATTCCACAAAAAAAATCGGATTAGCTTAAACATAAAGAGCTCACGGCCATGCTGCCTCAGCGAACATAAAATGAAGATCAGTTGGTTTGAGTCGAACTATTTGAAAATGAATATTAAAAAAACCGATAACGATTTTAGCACTTCATTAAGCTGTATTTTTCGTGTCTCTTCGCGCTAAAAATGTATTTTTGAACCTTCTAACCAAGTCTGAAATAGATATCGAAAGTAGAACATTCTCTCAATGAAAACAGTCGAAAAAAAATTAGGAAAAGTTACCTCGCATGCGAATGGCCGAAGTTCGGAGTGACAAATGCTGTGAGCACGAAGTTGAGCTCTTTGTACAAACTGGGCACCGCAAAGATCGCACTTGTACGGTCTGTGTCCTGTGTGCGTTCTCATATGCATTCTCAGATGCGTCAAACCTCCACGGATCTTCTTCTTGCAAATACAGCACTCGTGTTGATTGTCACCAAGAGACTTGCAATTTGTTATCAACAGATCCGTTTTCTGAAAAAATCAGAAAATATTACAAACGCACTCGGAATTACTCAAGTTATCTTGGTGCCGCAGTTATTAACAGAGCTTGAAATAAAAAAAAAATCTTTCCTAGAACTCTTGCACGATTTAACGAGAGTTAATATCATGCTGTCAAGCGTTTTTCATTAAGTAAGACTCGTACAATAATTATTTTGACCTCGCGCTCATTTTTTTCGACATGAGCCTAAATGTTAACTCTTCTCCTGCGATCACATGATGTTCATCTGCCTCTCAACCTTTCACAAACGAATACAATATTTCACGCCTACAAACTATTCAACACACGCGCCAATTTTGTTTGATGACATCGTTCAGTCACTTTATATCAGCCCTAGATCCAAATTGTTCAGAGCCTAAACTAATTTTAGGTTCTCCGGAAAAACGGTATTCACTTCACTTCCACTCAATGCGATCAGGCACAGTTATTCAGGGCGGTCACCCTGGCACAGAACCCTGTGATCTGAAGACAAACCTGCTCTGGTGTCAGTTGCTCCGACTCCTTGGTTCCCAGTATCTGTTGTTCACGAAGTTTCGGGTCAACGAGCGGAGTGTCAGGTTCACGGGGTTTGATCACAGCCTGGGAAATACCCGACGGTCCAGGGGCATCATCTAACGAAGGCCCAGCTTCGGGCTCCTCCTCTTCGCTGGCAGTGGTAGAGCCTTCCTCCGGCTCGTCGTCGCAAGCCTCTTGTGAGGCTGAGGTAGACCTTTCGGCAGTATCACAGACAATGTCGTCACCCTTTGATGACGGTACGCTTTCCTTAGGGCTGCTGTCCTTAGGAATGGGTTCCCTGCGTGGACGAGCATGGGCTTTTAACAACGTGCGGCGCCCTGGTTTGCGTGTCAGACCAGTCTTGTCTGACATCCTGCGGGAGACCTATGCTTTGGGTTTTCCGACCAGTTCGTTCACCATGTACCCACACCTTTGCATGCTTGCATTAGCCCTGAAATTTATTCCAAAAGCACTTGTGAACAATCACTGAGTCGACTTCAAGAAGATGATTTTTTTCAGGAAACAGTATCCACGATTGTTTACATGAACCATTTTATCGCGTCACGATTTCAGGAGCATGGCAGTCTTCTGACCTACTTTTCGCAGACATGATTCAATTGCTTCGTCATTCTCCGTAACACAAATCTGGTAACCTAGAATCCCTTTCCATGTACGATTGCATCAATTTCATGCGCACTGGGATAAGACGGCTGCACAGCTTTAATCCTACATGTTGCACGTTTCGTTTCACATGAACTCAGAATTTTGATCGCAATATACAGTAAAACTTCAAATATCTTTCAAATATCAGAGCAGAATTGATCCCACAAATTACAAATGAAGGTAGACCACTTTAAAAACAAAGAAATACGCACCCCTTGGCTATCGTGCAAGAGTCTGCTTCCAGCGTTACTGTGTCCCGAACGCGGAAATTCCAAGGTCGAGGAGTTGGGTAATCAGCTGTCCCATGCATGCTTCTCCATGGCTGCATCTTGGTTGAGGCGTGTTTCCTAAGGTCATCTGATTTTCCCCTCCCTATTCTGACTAGTGTGGGTCTAATGGCACCATGGATTCAATGCTCCTCAACGAAGGAAAGAAAGACAGGAGTGTAAGCCGACCAACACTGCCATGTCCTTCACTTTGAAGGTTAGGAAAAACAATGTTCCACCCTGTTCAGACCCGTTAGAACTTGCTTCTGGTTTGGGATAGGTGGCCATCCAGCACTTGCTGAGTACCACATTTTATGATGATTGAGTGGTTTATTCCAAAATTTTGCGATTGATGGAAAAAGCCTCACTGATTCTTCACAATTGATAGTGTGGAGCTATCCTGCTTATTATTGGAGAGATCCAGCCTCCTAGAGTCCTAGCTACATCTATGAACAAAAGTCAACACTTGACTGATCATTATGAAAAAATGAAAGATCAAGTCGAAACATTGATTAGCACATATCCACAAAAAGCAATGAAAAAAGCTAGCCAAATTAGTGGAAAGGCACGCGCAGGTGAAGTTTTTGCCATGGAATCAAAGCACAAAAGGAATACTGCATGTAAATAAAAATCGCGAATCCATTATTCACGCGGGTACAGTAAAAATCACCACCCCCACACATTCCGTAGGAAGAATGCTATCTTCACTTTATTGAACATGGATTCTGAACGGAATGATTCAAGATAAAGAAAACACACATTGATGCCATATATGTACACTTACACTAATCCACTATTGTATTTTTTGGAAAGATCAAGAGGTATATCACGCTGCAGTAGAGTAAAACATCATATTGTGAATACGTGCTGGTAATACAGCAGCTGCAGGCAAAGGAAGTTAACTTGGGAAATAATTTTTCATTTATACATAGGCTTATTCAATATTTTGAAAAAAATATCATATTGTATAAATAAGTAGTACTTATTCTTATAAAAACTGCTGAGAGCAGGGCGTGTGAAAATTGGACCACTCATGAAAAATCTTTTATAGAGGAAGTGAAAATGTTTCATTTTGATAAATATTAGGTTCTTATTATTTGGTGTGCGTGTATTGTGATTTTTTTAATAAATGAGGGAAAGCTCAATAAGTTACAAATGAGGTTTGTAATGCAAAATGTTCTTCAGGGGTTCACCCAGCAGGGACGTAAGAAAAATTTGACTCAAGGAGGTTTGAGTTATCCAGTTACTACTGTAACATTAAAAATCATGCAGCTCTGGAATATTTTTGAGGAATAACAATAACCGTAGAACATTTTTCATGAAAAAATTTTTCAGCTCAATCACATGCAGTTTCAATATTCATCCTGAGAACTTTTTTAGACCCATGCGTATGCCGGAACAATACATTTCAGTTTTATAGCTACGACATCCACTGTTGTAATCCAACAGAAAAGTATTAAAAAGTTATGTCAGGCTGGCTCTTGCATACGCAAGGGTTTTGTCTTCTGTGATGGTTAGAGTAAAACATAGAACGCATCGAAGAGATGAACTGCACAAAAGTAGAATTTGAGTGCTGAAATTAGGAAAAGAATGCGGTAGACAGTATCCCTAATTCAGTAACTCCCGGCAGGGTGGTGTACATACAGTACTAAATAGTGACAGTTGGCACCCTGGAACCCCTGAGTCCATGACCCACCCATACACTCTTTGATACTACAATACAGTACTGTAATGTGTAGGCTGTCAGGGCGTTGCCATGGCTGTATTTTACGAATCGAATGTGCCACCCGCGTCGCCGCTCGTAGGACATTACGGATGATGCTTGCGTGACCTAGAGTTATGATTCTGGCGTGTTTACATGTGCAATGTGACTTGTTAGTGGTCGCCGTCGAGTTTTGCATCTTCAAGTCATGGAGAAACACCACTGATAGTTGTTTTTGTGTTCGCTTATGCGCCAGAAGTGTTCGTTATAGATATATAAAGTATTACAATCGGTTGTCCGTATGCTGTATTAGCAGTGCGAGACTAGAAGCTGTCTAGCAGTCCGATTATGCGACATTGAAAAGCGAAATTCCGCGGTAGTGTTTCGTCTATGAATGTAATCCGGTGACTTAACGGACTCATCCGTGCTACCGGTGTAATCAAAGTTTTTGTGGTTTTTATTCCAGATCTTTAGATCGGTACCCTTCGAAGTTCTAGTCACTGTACGAAGATTGATATTCAATCACGATGAGGTGTTGCGAATGTAAATTAGAGCTGCATTCTTTCTCTAGTCTCCTGCAACACCTAGCAGCGCATGCTCAACCAGGCGAAATGAAGCCGAAGCTTTCAATTCTTGAGAACCTGTTATCCCGCGAAATGGACAACGAAAGGAAAACTACGGATCTCCCAAAAATTGCCCTAGAGAGACTATTCAGCAATTCGAACGAAATCGAAATTCGTCTGAAGACGAGTACGGTCCCAATTTCTGATGATAGCGTGACATCCTCGTCTTCTCCAACGCGTTGCGGTGCGAATGCATCTCTGTGGGCATCGAAGTTTCAGGAAATTATCGAGAGCAGAATCCGATATTACTGTTCGTCAGAAATGTCCGAGGACCCCTGTGACTCCTCAGGGTGTAAGAATACAGCCATTGTCGAGTGTGATTCTACCGACGAACGCCGAATGAATCAGGGTTCAATTGTTGTTTACGACGATGCGGAAGTTGAGATCGTGAAAAAGGCAGCTCAAAGGTTTGACGAGATCAGCATTGCAAGTTTACCTGCAGATATCGAATTTGATCCACTTAGTATTTGTGCTGTTACAATGAACACGGATTACGAGAGCGATGCGGAGTCGATTATTTCAAGCGATGAGACCGGCTGCAGTGAAGAAAACCAGAAAGTTTTGAAATCTTACGTTTGCTCTGAATCGGGATGCGAAGCCATATTCAGCCATGGATTCATGCTTGCCCGTCATCTTCGAATGGTGCACAATGTACCAAATCGCCGAAGGAAAGAATTCCCGTGTCAGTTCTGCTCAAAGGTATTCGGTTGGTGCACGGATTTGAAGCGTCATATTCTCACTCATACTGGAGAGCGTCCTTTCAAGTGCAAGCATTGTAATGTCGACTACAATCGGAAATTCTTGCTTGAAAATCATCTGAAGAAGAAGCATGCTGCAAAAAACAATACCAAACGAAAGCTGCCTCCTCTGATTCCGATCAGAACCAAGCCGAAATCCCCGGAGAGTGCTGCTTCTTTTTCCTGTGAAAAGTGCTCTGCGAAGTTCAGTTTTCGTGCGCAGTATTTGTGTCACGTAATTTCCCATTAATTACGGCTTTTTACGCCCAAACAATGTCGACGCCACAAATGCAGTGGGGCTTCGATTCGTGAATGAAATTGAACTCAAGCTCAAATTCATGAACAAAGCTTATGAGTGCTTGTACGTGATCGAAGCCTTCCATAGTCTTGCTGAAATTGTATTGAAATTTGCGGTAGTGCATTGGAAACAAACTAATTTCGGATAAAGAAAATGCTCTGAAATATATTTCAGGCTTCGTCTCTCAAGATGCATATTAAAATTGTTTCATACATTTTTTTCTGAATCATGGGAATTATTTGATCCAATTGCCGATATTGCCCCCTACTTCCGTTAAACTAGAAAAAAAAAGAATTTTAGTTTCCGTAATGCAGTAGTTCTAATAGTTCAAGTGAATAATCGTAGAGCAAATTTCCGACGGCAAGACAAGCACAAATTGCGAACAGATACAGCGTACCTCATAGAAGTAAACGACCGATTGTATTTAGAATGTTCCAGAAACGTGTTTTTATACTGTTCACTGAATCATTTGATGAATCAGGACGAGATTCTTGAAACAGAACGAACTTCGTGGAGTTCGTCTGAACGAACAGTCTTAATCCGAAGCCCCTCTGCATTTCTACTCAGCTGTATCTATTTATGTGTATTCATTTATTCTGAGGCAATTCGAATCACGCTACTTGAATTTATATTTTGTTTAGTGTTGTGTTATAAGCTTGTGGGCATGTACTTAATCCTGCCGTGATCTCTGTAAATTTTGTATGGAGTGTTCACTTTTTTTCGTATGGCATTTTGCGGTTTGATCTCAGAACAGCTTGGCATCTAGTCAGATAACTCTTCGGTTATTCGTCGATCGAGGCAGTCCGTGTTAAGATATTTACTTGCTGGGCATCAAACTACCTGCGACTGATTTCTTGTGACGATTTGAACAAGGGGGATTGAGCTTCAGATACAATACTGTCACTAGTCCTCCATCAAGAATGCTTCCCCCGTGCTGTGAGTTCCCTGCTGTTCGTGGAATTCGTGTATTATTTTGTACAAATGCCATTCGTGATGATACTGTTCATAAGACGTGAATGACTCGTTTGTTGTCTCACAATGTTTTGTCTCGATAAAAAGCTTTCCGAATTCTGCTGGTTTTTCATAATACGTCTGATGACTTTTTCAGAATCTTGATAGTGAGAAGTGCGACAGAGAATTATATTTTTTCTCATACTTCGGTTGAAATCCCGCTTTTTGATCGAAACGTGTGAATAGAGTGGAAATCGCGTGATCTCAACGAGCTGAGATTTTATCGAAGCATTTGGTGAACCGCTTCGCTTTAACGCTGTGAGCGAGATATGAGGTTGTTATTCACCTCTGATGTTTCTGACCATGTGTTTTCCCTAGAAGTGGGAGAGGACATCGAACTTGCAGTGCTAAAGGTTAGTAACCGTTCGACGAATGAGTCGAACCGAACCCCTTTTCAATTTACATCCTTCAGTTGGTCACTAATGAATGTTCCAAATCCTTTATGACCTTCGGAGCACTCGATACAAATTAACGGAATTCAATTTTACGTAGTCGAGTGCCTGTGATCATTATTTCTTCTAAATTCAGGATTGGAAACTCTCGCTTTTATCAATCATCGATATGGTCGCTGGTACTCGAGCGTGGCTGTTGTTTTATGAAGAGTGAGGGTTAATCCTTCACTCACTTAATTAATGACAGGACGTCGTGTTGAATACTCTGTGAAAGTAAAATTGATATTTAAATGAAAAAAAGAAAATTATGGCACTACATCCGAGGACACAAAATTGAAGGTTGACTATCTCAACCGAAGTAGGCCGAAGTAGAACCTGGAAAACATAACAAAATTTAGTCGGCGCTTTTTTAATCATGAAAAATGTATGGAAACCTTAATGTTAAAGGAGTCCAAATACAATACTTCTTTGAAATTCGAAGCTGAGGCTTAAAGCAATACTCTTCAATACAGTATTTTAATTTTAGAACTATTCTGATAACTTTGGATTTTGACCTGCACGAATAGCATACGATTGTCGCCAGAAATCCCATAGTCTAAAGCATGTTTCAATATGCTGATCTTCGTTTTAGGCGTTATGCGAATCGGAAAGCGGGATCCCGGGACAAGAAATGAGTCTCATCTTCAACAACACGTCGCTGGATGGCGACAGCCGTTTAATTGGATCATTCGGTCTCAAGGATAATGATATGGTACTTGTTCGACGTCGTCAATCGAACTCTTCTCGTAGTCCGAGTCGTTCAGTGCCCGGTCCGAGCCAGGCCTCTATGGATGACCCACGTGTACTACGCGAAATGTTTCTCGCCAATCCGGAGCAGCGAGCTTTGCTCAATCAGTCGAATCCTCCGTTGGCCAAAGCACTGGAAAGCAGCGATCCGGAAGAATTCAACAAAGTTTTTCGGGAACAAATGCGAGTTCGTCAAGAGGAAGAACGGAGAAGAATGATGATGTTGACGGCGGATCCGTTTGACCCGACTGCCCAACAAATGATTGCGGAAGAGATCAGAAGGAAGAACGTGGACGCGAACATGGAGCAAGCTTTGGAACACAATCCGGAAAGTTTCGGTACTGTTGTCATGCTTTACGTTGATTGCGTTGTGAATAAGCATCACGTCAAGGCATTTGTTGATACTGGTAAGTTTAAAATGTATGAGCAAGTTGCAACCTGTGCAGTCAAGCAGTGAGGCGTTACTATCAAAAGGTGCGCAGACGACTTTGATGTCAGCTGAGTGTGCGGATCGGTGCGGGATCAAAAGGTTGATTGACACTCGGTGGAGTGGGATTGCGAAAGGTGTGGGAACTCAAAGAATCACGGGTAGGATCCACATGGTTCAAATCGAGATTGCTGGCTGCTTTCTGGCCTCGTCTTTTTCCATTCTGGAGGATCAACCCATGGATATGCTGCTCGGCCTTGATATGCTCAAACGTCATCAGGTATTATTTTTGCCTGAAAATCAGATCTTAATTTGAACCTAAACTACTTGAGCCTTCCTACGTCGAATTTTTTTTTTTTTTTTTTTCAATTTTCTGTCTGAATTCCCTGAGAAGCATTACTTTAAAAACCTCTTGAAATCAAAGGCTTTCCCCCTTAAACCTCCACAACTCGATTTTTCTAAAAGGCTTTTCGGCTCTTCTTCTTGACGCAGGAAAAAGAAAATCGATAAGAAATGTAAAGTGTTTTGAATGGAAGGGAAAAACTAATCGACAGAATGGACGCTTGCCTCCAGGTTCAGCATCCTGTCAACTCATTCAAGAAGCAATTTGAAGCCCAGAATATCGTCAATTAAAATTTCCTAAATTTCTTCTGTCTTTCCCCCGACAAAAATCTTTTGTCCCCGACTCGAAATTTGTTGTTCGTTGGCTTCGTCCCTTGAAGTTCTACTTGAAAAGGGTTCAATTTCTTGAAAGTTTTTCGTGTAATGCTTGGTTTCGGAGGACAAGGGGTACAATACTTGGTTAATTCCCCCTCTTGATTTAGTCGGTTGGGGGAATGATCAAGGTACAGAGACGTATACAGACTCTTGGACAAAGATTGTATTTTCTTCCGAATGAAGAAACTTCGTTTTCTTGTGCTGGATTACGGTAGTTTCCGACTTCCTCATTTTGCCGTGTGTGTATATTTTGTTCGGAGAGGGAGAAACGATTCGGGATAATGTAGATTTGTGTTTATAGGCTAAGTGGTACCATATTTTTCAGTGCATTGTTGACTTGAATCGCAACGTGTTGATCATTGGCACAACCGGAAAGGAAACTCGTTTCCTCAACGAAAACGAGCTTCCCCCTTGTGCCCGGATGTCTGGTCCAGCCGCAGCCGCGGAAGCCACGAGCGCTGATGATGAAGCGCTCGCTAAGGCATTGGCAGCATCTGCAGAAGAAGCAGCTTCCAAACAGTCTCCGTTTCCTGAAAAGGATATCAAAGAAGTGATGAACGCAGGGTGCAATCGTCAGCAAGCCTTGGACGAGCTCACGAAGGCGAAAGGTGACCCGAAAGTTGCCATCATCGCCGTCCTAACCCGAGGTTTCAGCAGTGGAACTTCCAAAAAATGATTTTGTGACGGACTTCTAAATGCGCGAAATGTGATTCGTCTTGACCGGTATAAGGTTCCCTACTGATATTCCTTCCTTGAATGCCCGTATAAATTTGTTTTGAAAATTGTTATGTGTTCCTTTGGGTCGTTGATTGAGTGGGTTATCTGGGCGAGACAACTTGAACGGGTGTTCCCGACTACCTTGTTTGCTTATTTCGTGTGGCTATTCGCTTCTTTCGACCGGTCCAGACGAATTCTTTCATTGTTACGCCTTGCGATATTCGAAAATGGGTTCGCGGATTGTATTTTTCATGATCATATTCTTGGAAAAGGTCACCAAAGCAATGCGGTGTTTCTTGTCAAAGCATGTACTGTATTTGGAACGTAAGTGGCTTCAAATCCGTTCAATTTAATTTTTTAAATGATCTTTTCTCCGTTCAACTCCTGTGATCCCATGTTTTAGCCGTGGACGCAAATTGTGTTGAGAGCTCTGCTATGGTTAAAATTGCTTTCTGTCTGTAATTGACTTTTTTGTGTGCTGTGCATAAATCGCGGAGCTCCGTGAAAATGATGGAAGCTACATCTGATTACGGGAGCACGCCCAGTGTTCCTCAGCAGTTCTTGAAGCGGGTACAACAGGTTTGTGAAGACATCGCATTCTTGTTCGTGTAGTTTTTTTTAAAAAGGAAATCGATCTCCTAGACTTATCAAGTTATGCTTGATAAATGGACCCCGCACACTGTATCGCGTTGGGTTGGTTGTGCCGTGTTGCTGGTCCTGTTTTGGACGCGGATTTTGCTGTTGAGAGTTAGTATTGGAATTTGAGTATCGCGACTCGTGAAGATGAGATGAATTGTTTACGATTTTCAGGGATGGTATATTGTGACCTATGCTCTGGGGATTTACCACCTCAACCTGCTCATCTTATTCTTGTCCCCGAAGATAGATCCGGCATTGGCGGAGTTCGAAGGTTCGTTTAAATCGACTGAAGTACAGCAGTGTTCCAAATTTTAATTGTCAAGTTGAGGTCGTTGGCTGAAATTGTTGTTGTATTGCAGATGATACTACTCAGCTCCCGACAAAGAATGACGAAGAATTTAGGCCTTTTATGCGTAGATTGCCGGAGTTTAAATTTTGGCATTCAGCAACGAAAGCAACTGTGGTGGCCCTTGTGTGCACGCTGTTTGAGTTCACCAACATCCCTGTGTTCTGGCCGATTCTCGTCATGTACTTCTTCACATTGTTCGCCGTCACCATGAAGCGGCAGATTAAGGTTTGTCTCTGCTTTTGTTTACGAGTCTTATTTATAAATTTTGCAATTAACATGTTATTCGTCCTCGTAGAGAGTCAATCGTGTAGGCTGTAGGGGATGTTATCTTGCTCTTCGTCCTTTTGGTTTATTATGAATTTCCGTCCTTAGTCAGACAACAAAGGATATATGAAACGAGTAAAAATAAGCTGACGGGCAATTAATTGTGAAATTAATGCATGATTTTTCTCGGTGTCCAGTTCTGCAGTCAACATCTCCTTTTTGGCGCTCTCGTTTTCCCCAAATACTGCGTTGACATTTTTCAGCATAATTCAAGCATCATCTTCAATTTTACATGTAAATTTTTTCGTTATGTTTGTGGCAGCCGTTCCATAGATCGCATAGAACTTGAATCATGGAATACTGTGGTTACTACCCAATAATCCAAAAAATGTCGTGTTGCCTTGATGGGTAAAGTGTCAGAAAAAATCGTGAATATTTTTGCCTGAGATATGAAAGAAATTGAGAATTACTGGAATTGAATGTGCATTTCATCAATTTGTCGTCTGTCGCATGTTTTTCGAGTCAAATACTGCGGTTGAAAGAAGCGATTTTTTTGTGACGTGATTTTTTTTCTTATTTTGAATTTATCATTTCCATGAATAATGTGTTATTTATCGTTTCAGCACATGTTGAAGTACAAATACATCCCGTTTTCATGGGGAAAGCCAAAATACAAAACGCAGTTCGGAGGCTGATGACGGCTGTTGCGGTACACACGAACTTTCCGTCGATCTCTGCGCGGAGAAAATCAAGTGTTTCTGTCTCCAGGGTATACTTCGAATTGCGTTGAAGATTTCTTCTCAGCTTTCCTCCTTAGTCTTTAGCGTGGGGACGGGGAGATGGAATCATTACATTTATTTTGCTACGCGGGGCAAGGGAGCGAAAGCGAAAAGATCGTAAAATTTGAGGGTGGGAATGCAGTATGAAGCCTAGTCACGGCAGCAAGAAATTTGCGGCTTGAACAATTCCTTTTTTTTTTCCGGACGAGCTCCCGACATTTTCCGAGTATCATCATTTTTGTGATTACATTTTGTTGCAACGTCGTTTTTATGATGATATGTTAGCAATAAGGATCAACATGCGATTTTCTTTCTTAGGCGTTCTGCTGAAGACATGTTCAGAACATTAGATTATATTTTTTGTCGATCTTTCAGCAGATCGTGTTCAGCTGTGTTGAGTTTCAGTTTTTGGTCAATTTCCACGCGTTCGTTTTGCCGATTCTGAGGGAACCACTTCAAATTACAAGGACATCCAATGCGTTTCTTATTTCTCATTAAACTTCTCGCTATTCCGAACAACGTCAATATTTGGACAAGTTTCAAAGTGATGGAAAATCCGACAAGTTCGATAAAGGTTCACCTCACACATTACATGGTGATTTTCGAAAAAAAATGGTGGACACGGGCCGACCGTTTCATCTGTAAAAATCGGAGTGAAATTGTTTCGGTTATGCAACGAATTCCTAGATTTTTAGTCACGAATTGGATTAAATCACAAGAAAATGTTCGGAATTTCAGAAAAACTTGCAAGAATGTTTTCTCAAAAGCAAATGACTTCCTTGACGGAAATTCTTGCGTGTTGCAGGCTGGTTTTTATGTATGGTGAAAGCTTCTTTTAAGGGATGGGGTCTCTGGAGATCCCTTGTGACACATGCCGGTTGTGTGGTTTACAGGAAATGAGAAACTGTATCGCCATATTCGACCGCCAGCGCCAAGGAACGAGAAGCGTGGCTGTATTGATTTCCCAATGCATTCCACAGCTGGTTCGTTGATTTCAATTCATCCTTTTTGTGGGATAAATGTCATTACGTAACACCAAGAGCAACCAGAATTGAACATATCTGAACTGTCCTCATTTTAACCTAAACCAATGAAGAATCCAACACCTGACCGAGAACTTTGCAGAATCTGTTGCCTTAACAACCAAAGAAACAAAATTCATCCGAATTCTACCAAAATTAACCTACTGTAAACTACTTTACGTAGCTTATACAGTAAAATTCCACTACAACGAATCTCGATATAGGTAATTTTAGTTACACCTACTTTTTCCTTGGGTCTAGCACTTCTCCATAGGTGCCGTGTCGTAAAAATCTTGTGACATTCATTTTAGGCTGTTAATTTTTTTACAAACTGTTCGCTTAGATTCTGTGTACAGTATAAGCCATCAGGATTACTGGTACAGTATTTGATGAATGACAGAAAATGTAAAAAATCCAACTGGTGCAGCATTCCAACTTCATCAAACAAGCATTTCTTTCCATGGAGAAAATTTAGGATCAAAACATTTTTCAACATGTCGAATTTCTTGAAAATTCATTAGCTTCATTTCAGTATGTATGCCTTTCTTTCAAATGATTGGTATGCTAGAACCCTCTACGTGAACGAACAAGCAAGTATGAGTGATCAAGTTGATTTGGAAGAAAACATTGCTTCCAAATGCACTTCTGTTCCATTTTATTTTTTAGGACAATAGCGCAGTAGAAAGACGGGTTCAATAGACGGAAATTATTTTACTGTACAGTAGTATGCATGTACATTTATCAATTTTCCTCTTCATTTCATTGGAGAGATTTTATAAATTATAACTTGAATTATCTCTTGTAGAAGCACTTCATAGTATTTATTATTCATTTATCAGAAAATTTCTCTCCAAGATATGTTGAAAATCATGATTTTTGATAAAATGTATTCTTCAATTTGATGAATTTTCATTGCGTCCCTGGCAATTTGTTGTAACATGATTTTACAGTACAGCGCTAGGCAAGTTGTGAACTTGAACATTTATGCATAGAAAAAGTGGAATTTGGAAGACTGAAACACCTGGCATTAAAAAAGTTAGTGTGGATTATTCAAATAACCCTTTGAATGTTCAATCACGTGTGGAATATGTGATTCCAATTCAGTATGTAATGTGTTGCCAGGTTGTTTCTGAAGACGACACACTTCCGCATGTCGTCTGTCGGCCCTGTTTGAAGGAGCTTGTGCGGCTGTACAAATTTGTGTTCAAGGCGTTGGCAACGCAAACCGAGTTTCTCCAGTTGAATTCACACGAAAATGGTAAATTTCTAAAGCGTTCTAATTCGAAAAATTTTTTTAAATTCATTTTTCGTCCTTCAGATAAAAGAAAAGTGAAGAACGTAACGAGTCCCGTTACGAATCCTACAGAAATGATCGTAAGTTTTTTTTCCTATAAAAATAGTTTCCTTCATTCTATGACGTGAAGTATTCGCCTGCAGAAGGATGCCGTGAAAATCAAAGAAGAAAATGTCGAAGAACCGATACCTTTGGCATCTCCCTGCGCAAATGATTTCCCTGATTCGTCAAGCGACGAAGACGGAGACATTGAAAGAGTGAAGCCCTCCGAGGAATGGGATTCATGCGGAGATGGTCGGGCCAGCGAATTCGAAAAAGCTTTGGAGTTGAATCTGTTCGTCCCAAGTGACGACGATTTTGACATGGAAGACAACGACGAAGACCCCAATTACACCCCTGGTGCCGGTTTGCAAGAAAATTCATTAAAAACTGGCTCAGTTCGCGGGAGAAGAGGGAGACCGAGCAGTGGGTTCAAGCTTGATGGAATTTATTTTTCTGGCTTGTATGAGAGCGTGAATTTGTTTGATTTGAAGAATCGGCTGTATCGGGAGTGAAACGGACTTCAAAGAGGCGAAACTTGATCTCTGCATCTGAAGCTGTCCCGGAAATGGATTTTCCGGATGCGATAGAAAAAGAAGCCTGTGAAGAATGTGGGAAACGAGTAAATTCAAAGTAAGCCCTCGTCAACCAATAGGCCTTCAAAATCGCTTACGATGCACATCAAAGGAGAAAGTATCGAAGCCATAAGTCTCAAAAGAGCCTTGAACGACATTTTTTAAAGACAAAATGTCTCGGATCTTTGGGTTTAGTGAATTTATGGTGTACTCAAATCGGGTAACAGTGAGTACCTATGTAGAGGAAAAACCGCCCAGCAGAAAATTCGAAAAACGAAATCTTTTAATGGAGTAAAATTGACTCACATGACGAAGTTGGTTGGCCCCCAAAATGTGGACAGATGTTGAAAAGTTTTTGGCTGACACCGGAATTTTTTCAAATTGACGAGAATGAAGAAAGAAAGGTATGCTTGCGTCTCTGCTTGCCTTTAAAATTTTTGAAATTTACAAAGGTCAGAGCACGAATTCTTCAGGTACCTGCATCCCATGCTTGTAAATTTTAAATTCCCCAGAAAAAAAAAAATCATGCAGAAAATTAGGAAAAAAGTAGTTTCAAGTGTTTCCAACGGTTTATCATGGTTTTTCATTGGTGTCCGGAACGATTTAATTGATTCATAATTCAAGCAGAAGCGAAACCGGGTTTCGCTTTACGTAAGTTCCACATATCAAAACACGCCGAGGGAGGGATTAATTTCGTTGTGCGGGGACCCACTTTATTCGTAACGCTGATGATACTTAGTTGATCTACTTATTCATGCTTATTTTTGTATGCCTTGCGTTTTCGAAGATTTTTGTAGTGCACTTATTTCCCATCATGTTCAGATATATGGAGAAGCATAAGCTGCTGCACGGCAAGTCGGGCGTGGAAAGAAAACCCAAGTCCCTTTTGCCTCCCGAAGAAAAAACGCAGTACATGTGCCATAATTGTGGCAAGCAGTTTTCTCAGAAAGGAAATCTGGATGCCCACATGAGAACGCACACCGGGGAAAAACCCTTCAAATGTGATCTATGTCCCAAAGTATGTCTCGTTCATTTAGCAGAGTTGGAGCGTGCTGACGAATTTTTTATTGTTGTTTTGGTTTTCTTTTTTCAGGCTTTCACGCAAAAAGGTAACTTGGATGAACACAGACGATCGCATACGAATGAAAAGCCATTTTGTTGCGAAATTTGTGGTGTTCGCTTTGCCAGACAAGCGCAAATCAAAATTCATTTGCGATCCCACACGGGTCATCGTCCGTATGCATGTAAATATTGCCATTCATCGAGAGACTCGTCCATATAAATTGATGATTAGAGAAATTTATAAACGTCACTTTCATCTCCTTAGGTAATTTCTGTCCCATGAAATTTAAGCGATTACAAACCTTGCGAAAACATCAGAGGATGCATCTGGATTTGCGACCATATCCCTGTGACATGTGTGACAAGCGATTCAGAGATCGGGATAAGCTCATTGTTCATCGACGCATTCACACGGGGGAGCGTCCGTTCAAGTGTTCCGTTTGTGGTCGTGGTTTCTATGAATCCGGGAATCTATACAAACATGCTAAAATTCACCAAAAGGATGGAGAAATTGGAGTTGTCGACAAATCTTTGGTTATTGTGAACATGGATCTCGGGAAAGAAAGCTTCAAGGTCCGGCCAAGGTAATTATGGGAAAATTTTGTTTGCGGGGAAGGAGATATGGTTTTCCCGAATCATGCCCCATACAACTCATATACAGTAGATAATTTATCAATACCCAATTGTTTTATTTTATTTTATTTTTTTTTAGAAAAAACACTCCTCACTATCATTCTAGAATACGGTAGTCTAGATTAAATTTTGAAGTTTTAATCATGACCCTAAGGAAATATTTTATCATTGAATAAGAATACTGTAAAATATTGTGTGACACTGAAAGCAAGTGCCTGTCGATGCTTGCAAAATTTTTCTAAATTCTTGGATGGAATCAGTTCGTTGCGATCGAGAAGGCCAAAATTAATTTTTGGGATTGGTTTATTCCACGTAAAATTAATTTAGGGACTTTCTAAAAGGGATGTAGGGTCTTAATTTCCAAACCTCAATTATTGAATTGTAATCATGTTGAAAGGCTGCCCGAAATTTTCCATGTGCCTTTTCGTTTTCAGAATGCGCTGTCCTGGACTCGGCCAATTTTTTTTACTCACTGAATTGTACCGCCACAATTGTTCGCGGGAATTAATTGCCTGAATTTTATTTGACTACAAAATTGTTTCTTTTGCAGATTTGACTGCTATTTGTGTGCGACTGAGTTTGGTGACGAAAAATCCTTGATGGCGCACATGGCTGTACATGAAAAAGAAATGAAATCCAGGGTGCGAAGCGATGGCCGACGTGGAGCTAAGAAATCTATACTAAAGGTGTTCGGGGAATCGGTTCCGCCGGATGAGGAGAACATTCTGGATTCCATGGGTCAACCGCAGGATCCTGATGTAAGAATCAAAATTGAGAACGTTCCCTCTGTACCTTCGCTGGTACCCGAGAATAATTCGATTGCAGAAAACGTTACAAACCCTTTCGGGAATTCTGTACCTGCTCATTTTTCGTCGGTCGGATTGCCAACAATATGGCCATTTGGGGAAAACCCGTGAATGTTTTTTTCTTTTTTTTTCGATGGTGCACTGGGATGTTGTATTTTTTTTATTATTTGTTCTGCAAAGTTCCCCTGCATGGGTGCGGATGTGGTTGATTTTTCAGCGCAAGGCATTTTGGTGTTTTATGTTCGGAGATTTTTTAAAATTTTATTTCGTTTATATTTTAGCCTCTTGTGTGAACATCATCTATCAGTCGAACTTTTGGTTCAAGTGGAAAAATATACTTCATGCATTCCAATTGGTGTGTTTTATTACAACTGAGCACTGTATATCCTGAGATGATTCAAATATTAATCGGAAGTTGAAGGAGAAAGGCTTACCGCTTACGCCACACTTCGGTGAAATTATTGCACTGGGCGGGCGCTTTTCGAGAGGTCCTCTTGCGAAATTAGTTCCGTAACGCAACGGAGGGTGTGGTAAAGTATATTACTCCATTTTAAAAGGATTTCATGGCAGATCAACCAAAGTTTTCTTTGTTGCCAATGATCCCAGACTTCGAACGAATTTCCAGCTGAGGATGCGCGTGCCCGAAAAGGTTCCACCTCTCTATTCGCGTGTGAAACTCAAGCATCCAAAAGTTCGTTGACAGTTAGGCAGCATTATTCGTACGTATAGTATTGTACTGCTAATAACGGTTGTTGTACGCTAAAAGACATGGCGCCCAAGCTAGATCCAACCGAGTAGCATCGCTGCGACCAGACGCTGGTGACTGAATTTGGCAATAATGCAATCGAATGGGTCGTGAATTTTGTGTAACCTACTCTATGAGTGTGTGTGAGCATTGACTTTTACTGCATTCTCTCGAGAACTTGTGCAGTGAACGGAGATTTTCTTACCTGAGTTGGTATTCATGGAACGGATTTTTATTGTGATTTGTTGGTTCTGTCGTATGTACAGACCATGCGTGCATAAATAATCGCAGTTTTCTTACACAGGTGTGTGATTGACGTTCAAATTGGGATGCCTGCAGAGTACAGTAGTTCGATGTCGTAATTGTTGATGTCTGTCTCTCTGTCATGCGGAAGTGACGCGTATTTAACGGACTGCATTAGAATCTGCCGAACCATGGATTTCTGATTTGGTGTAATAATTGAAGCATCGAAGTATGGTGGCCTTTCCGGTGATCAAGTTAGGAGCTTTAATTATGAAGCAAGTGAGTAAGCCTTTGGCAGCTGCCGTGAAAACGAAAGCGAAGAACAGCTACTTCTTTCGGACCTACGTATGCATGCCACCGGCCCAACGTAAGAACTGTATTGGCGTTACTCGAGCGAAAAGTACCTAACTGATGGAGAGTCATACGTGTGTTCATAGTTTATCATTGGTGGGATGTCAGATTGAGGATGTGGTCCATGAACCTCGGTAAGCCTACCGAAATTCCGAAACTCAACGAAGGCATGGCAATCGACCTAGGAGCCGAACTTTTGGGCGAATTCATTATATTCGGAATTGCCGCAGCTATTCTAACTGCCGAGTATACGAGAAGTAGCAACAAGGAAGCTGCCAAAGAACTCGAAAGACAGAACAACTTCGAAGCTTTGGAGGCCAAGACAATGGACTTGGAATTCACCGTACAGCAGCAGGGCGCCGAAATCAGGGAACTCACTCGTCTTGTTTACGCAATCCCTAGTGCCAATCTAAAACCGACTGCCGAAAATGCCGTCAACAAAGACGAGATGAAAAGTTAGAGGTGATTTTCGCTGGAGAGTAAGAATCACTCTCCGCGAATGTTGTGCAATGACGGATTCAATACCAGTGATCGGGTCTGATTTCAGATCCAAGTGCGTCGAACTTGAGAGAGGAATCAATTTTTTCTCTCGTACCCTTCTTTGTCAGTAGTCGATGCGCATTACAAATTACATGTTGGTTCATTTTGTAGGAACGGATTTAGGGTTGCATTTGTGATTTTCTGAATATGTCGTTGAAGTGTAATACCTTTCAATTCTGAATTTCTGATCATGTTATATTTCAGGTATATTTCTCTGTCTTCGTTTTGATATGTTTTTGAAGTGTAATACTCGTCGATGCCCCTCTGATTCATTTTTTGAAATGAATCCGTCAGCCTTTTAATATATCGTTCCGAAAACTCCTCAATCAAAAAGGTAAGACATCTGTTGCTATTAATTTGTGTTCACTTTACATCTTCATGTTGACCGAGCTGACGAAAGAAAATTTGCTTGGAGAACACATGAGCGTCATTCAATTTACTTTAATTTCTTAGGTTTCTTCAAACCATGGGGTATGATGTATCTCGCTTTGAAGGAGAAGTGGATGAAGAGCTTCTTTGTCCGATTTGTTCCGGTGTGTTGGAGGATGCGGTCCACGCCCCCGTTTGTGAACACGCTTTTTGTAATGGGTGTATAAGTGAATGGCTGACTCATCAACCGACATGTCCAGTAGACCGTCAGGAAATCACCGAGGCTCAGCTGAAACCTGTTCCTCGAATCCTTCGCAACCTTCTTTCTCGCTTGCAGATGGCTTGCGAAAATTCACAGCATGGTTGTAGTGCTTTAGTAAAGATCGATACTCAGCAGGTATGTCCTTAAAATTTTCTGGTGTGCATTGTGGATTGAATAAAATTTTTTTCTTCTGTAGTCACATCGTCTGGAGTGTGAATTCAACCCGAAGCGCCCGGTTTCCTGCGATTTGGGCTGTGGCTTCGTTGTACCCAAGGATGAGCTGAAAGAACACAATTGTATCCGGGAACTCCGCGTCCTCATTTGCGAGCAACAGAAGAAAATGGGCGAATTCGAGGAGGAGCTTAAGGAGCACAAGTTCATGCTGGGTGAGCAGAAGCGAGAACTGCAGCTACTCAAGGAGTTCATGAGGGCCATGCGGTTGTCCAATCCCACTATCCGCACATTGGCTGAACAAATGGAGCAAGACGAAGTCGTTCGATGGGCCAACTCTTTGCAGCGGGCCAGGGTGACGCGTTGGGGCGGTATGATTTCTACTCCAGACGCAGTGTTGCAGGCCGTGATCAGACGAGCTTTAAGCGAGTCCGGCTCACCCTTGCACGTCATCAACGAACTGATGGAGAACACTCACGAGCGTCGCTGGCCACCCGGGCTCTCGACGTTGGAGACGCGGCAGTTGAATCGGAGGCAGTATGATAATTATGTTTGTCGCCGCGTCCCGGGTAAACAAGCAGTTGTGGTGATGAAGTGTGAGAATGGGCACATGGCCGCGGACTTGGTGCTCGATCCCGGGTTGGTTATGATTTTTGCGCACGGAGTCGAGTGATAATCAAGTGCTCCCGAGTTGCCTTTATTCCCGCTGCCGCCTTCGAACTTTGCATACTCGTCGTCTCGATCTCTCGAACTTCGTGTCAGTTTATTTTCTCTCGTCTTTTTTTGTTTCTTAGAATTTGTGAAATGTTCCCGTTTTGGTTTCAAGTACTTGTTAAGTAACTGAATTCATTCGATTTTCAGTAAACTAAACGCTGCTTAGCCGAACTATGGATAGCCTTTGACACTGCAATCTTCCAAAGATAATCTGAAATTCTTTGGTGTTGTAGAGGGTAATTTTCATTATACAATGAAGATTGGGGATTCATATTCTTAATCTGGCGAAGTCAGCAATCCAGTTATCGAAATGGTTGACGTGAATCTGTCCAATTTTTAACACCTCTTTCGGGTGAGGGAGGAAACGTTCATTTGTTCATCCAAGCTTTCTGCGAGTGGGTTTCCCACTAATTTTCTACGCAGAATCAGATTTAGATTCACGCTCGCCTTCGGGCGCTCAAATACATTTTGATGTTAGTTCAAATTTCTCTTGTGGTTGTGCGCTACCAATTTTTTAGGTTCTACTAAGAAATTCTCTTCGAAATTTTAAATGAGTTTTCCAAGTTTTCACGTATTGAGGGAACGAAGGAAAGGACATTATTTGGGTAGACTGTTCAAAATTACGGGTATGAATTTTAAACACACTTTACTCTTCAGAATATTTGTTCAGGTCACGATTGATATGTTCAGTTTCGCTGTGTACTAATTTTGTCGAACACTACTAAAAGATTGATGAAAACAATGTGAAGAGATCGCAGGTTGTCGACGAATTTCTAAATCCTTCTGAAAAGTGCACGATGTATTTGTTTCAGTAATCGAGACGAAAATTCCGATTTAACTTAATTACACAGTCATCTAATACGTTTTAAAGATTTAAAAGATCAAAAATTGTGTCTAAAACACCCGTGGGTATGCAAAGTGGACGACAGCTGGACTGCCATCAAAGTTATCGAGGGGAACCCATTTCTGAGCGTTTTGGTGCTTGATGCGAGCACTGATTTCCTATCTAAATATTTTAGTACTTTCTTCTGGCGATGATTTTTTTGCACCGACGGGAATCGTCAAGCTGCCCGGGACCGTTGTGACCGACGCTTCCGTTCAGTCGCAATGTTTGAATATTCTTATTTTGCTACTGGCACTCTATTGACAGTGGCACTAATGTTTTTTATTGAACTTTTGGCTGAGCGCTTTTTTATTTCTCCACGTCCGTCCTGTATTTTTTCACTGAAAAGCCTTCGCAGATCGAAGAAATGCGTATCACGCAACTGATCTCTTACTTACGTACTACGCTCTGTTCGCTCTCTCGATCGCGCAGTGATGATTCATATTAGGAGCTTTCAAAAATTGTCTAAAAGTCAACGGAAACGAAGGGAAACGAGGAAGAAGAATATTATTTGGGAGAACGGCTGGATTTTTTTTTTGGTTTACCAGTTTGGTCGTGATGTATCTTGCGTGGCAGAGCAAACTTTTTTGTAAAACGCATGTGCATCGGCTGGCGTTTGTACTCTGATAAAAATGTGGTATTTGCCCGTGTGGGGTAAGAAAATTTTTGCTCAGTCTTGCCCATCCACTTCTTGTTTAAACGACTTTTCACCGCCAAAAATTGTGGATAAAAAAAAAGTCAGTGAGTCTGTTTAGAGATGATTTTACGACGAAGTACAGTATTTCATTTTTTTGTCTGTATCTTTAAAAATTATCACGGCATGACATAATTTCCCCAACAAATATTAAAATTGTTACGAACTTGTGCGGAACAGTTTTCGAGTCAATTAATGCGCAGTTCGTTCAAGGTGAGGTCAGTCACCCGGAAAGCTTTCCTGAACGAAGTATTTTCGTAGATCAAGTGTACCGATTGGTTTTAAATTTTATTGTGTATAGATCTTTTTTTTTTAAATGCTTATACTCATCCTGATGCTTTTCTTTGCGTTAGTTGTTCTCCGTTACTGTATTCGCTAAAATTTTCGGACCCGGGCTATTTTAGCCTTTTTAGGATGCGCCTTTTTTCGGAAGCCGCTCTCAGCACCGAAAAAAAGTACTTCCGTATTCCTCGACTCCAAATTTGTGACGGAATGATAATTTTTTTTCTCCATGGTCAAACTAGAAAGATTGAAATCAGTTCTTCAAGAAGTGGGTGGTTGATGCAAGCAGCGGATTTTGTTATATTGACTTGTTCGACATTATTTGTTGAAAATTCAATTAATGGTATTGTTTTCTTTCTAGGATAATTGTTTGGTGCGATGGAAACGTATCGGATGCACGCCGGGGCGTGCATGCATCATCCTGATGTGAGTTCCCCGAAAAGTCAGGTTGTGATTGAGCGATTGCGCCGGCGGATGGAAGTGTACGCGTCTCATCAACGCCGTTCCCTGACCCACAACACAGTTGTGGATCCGATCGCGATGGACCAAAGCCTGCACGAAACCAAACTCCTGCACCAAAGATTCCTGGAAGCCAAGGCGAAAAAGGCGTCCAAGAAGGCGCCCGAATCGACCAAGAAACCCGACAAGGAAGAAAAGAAGGACGAAGAAGAAAAGTGCGAAATCAAGGCCGAGAAGAAAGAAGAACCTTCGCCGGTGTGCAAAATTGAGCAGCCGAGTCCCGAGCCGAGTTTGGCCTTGACTCTGTGTGAGGTTAAAGAGGAGCCGATGTCGAACCCGGGTTCAATCGCTGAAGACATTGGTAGTCTCGTCGGAGATGATGAGACTGATCTGAACGACTTGGTGCTTGATCTTCCGACGCTGGCCCAAGATTGGGATCTCGGTGAGCTCGGAAAGGACCTGGGCAACGACTTCGACCGACTCGTGACAGAGCTGAAAACCGATCAAAGAGTGGAGTCTCCTTCGCAGCAGCAGCAGCCGATTTTCAACGAAAATGCCGCCGGACCAGCAGCTCGCACCTTGAAGCAAATGGCCGAGCAACACCAAATGTCTCAGCCACTGAAACGCAATGCTGATGGTCAAGTTGTTCCTAAATGCCAGTTCCCGAGCAGCGATCAGTTGCAACAACAGCAGCAGCAGCAACAACAACAACAACAACAGCAGCAGCAGAGGTTTTATCATCCTCCGCCTCTGCAGCAGCAACAGATGCCGATGCAGCAACCCCAAATGTTGCACAGCATGTTGTACCAACAGCAACACCAGCATCAGCAGCAGAGAATGCAGGCAAATTACAATCAGATGTATGTGCAACGACAGGCAGCGTACAGACCTGCGAGGCCTGCTGGGAATTACAACCAAATGTACCAACAGCAGGTTTGTTTACTCATGCATAGTCTCTTTTCCCCATGGAACCTGATTATTTCTGGGAATTGAGGCGTTGGGTTTTTCAAAATTTTTGTCGAAGGGAAGCCGGAAAATGTGTCATACTGTCATCCAAGCAATTGAAACAACGTTATGTTTCATGCTAGGAAATTAGTTTTTGAGCTCTTCAGAAAAAGAAAAATCTTAGTGTGTTCATTCAATTCTAACGTGAAAACGGCTTTTGCGAAATAAGTGTTTTTCATGAGGTCCTACTCATTTCACTCAATTTTACGGATAATAATTGTTCGTCTCTATGTGCCACTAATTTCATGTCATCCCATCTATTCCAGAAACTGCCAAAAATGTTTCCCCATTCGTATCCCCGGCTTCAGAGCACAATTACTTATTTGAACGAGGACAGGATCGACCTCTTTTTTCCACTTAGTTGCAGTGTCCTGCAGAGATTCTTTATCATAATCATATGTTCGTGTCTCTTTTGCAAATCCCGTAGTACATAAATGATCATCCATCAGATTTTTCGTACGTTCTCGCTTTGCTGTTACAGGACCGTATTGACTAGTTCAAATTTTTTTCAGCAGACAGGTGGTATAGTCACTGCGCAAAACTGCGAAGTTTCGGCGAGGGTGCCTCATAATTCAGGTGCTTATGGAGTCATCAGAGTTTCTGCGCCGATGATGAATCCAAATCCGCATTACTTGAAGTGTCAAAGTTGGATGCCACCTCAAGTAACGAATAATGTCCAGGGTAAGTTTCTGTAATCATATCATATCCTGATTTTTTTGTAGCTCCTTTACGAAAAGGATGAGCCTGTGATTAATTATTATTTTTTCTATTCTTGAATGAACTGGAAAATTGTGCATATCCTTCAATCCTAAATTAAATTAGTTTCGAATATTTTTCGATTGAAGCTATGTGACGGTGGTGCTGGATTACTCGATGATGTGTGTGTGTCAGATCATAATCTAGAAGCAAAAATATCGAACTTGGTCCGAATTGTTGGCATGTTCAGCCGTCTCGGGTCTACAATATTTGTGAAGCTATCGAAGGGTCGCTGTTAACTTATTGAAAGAATGAAATGTCTCAGATGGAAAGTAATCCTTTCTCAGTATTGATGCTCATTTATTGATTTTGTGTAGGGATGACTCAGCAACCCCAGCAAATGGTCATGTCGGACAACCACGTGGACGTTCCTGGGAATCCATACCGCCCGCAAAACTGCATAAATCCGATGACTCAGGTTAGTCCTGTATTTCCCGCTAAAAATTTTTGAATGTGTTCGTAATTTAGCTGAGATAATTCTGGGCTGCAGCCTTATGCCGTAATAACCCGGAGTCATGATCTGTGAAGAAAAGAAAAAAAACGTTTCTTCTAATACTGTATTGAGTATTTTTTATAATTTATAATTCGTGATTCTATTTTTAGGTTACTGTATCTTTTTGCGAAATGTGGACGATGTTGATGGGCATTTTTGATCTTTCCAGCAGCAAATGAATATTCAAGCGCAGCAGCAGCATCATATACAACTCCAAGCAGCGCAAGGAGGGTACAGAATGGAAACACAAGGTTCCAGCGCGGGTATGGCACAAATCGACACCACCGGAGTGCCGACCGATCTCGACTTTTTCGACGCCAACTTTTCGTTCTCTGGTGAAGATCAGGATCTCTTCAAGTCTTTGGATAGCATTGTTTCCCATGGGTGTCCTCCGGGTGGTAATTGAACGAAGAGACACGCACATGTACTCCTAAAGAAAGAAAAAAAAACTAGAACGAATCACGGACTATTGAATCTCACGTAAGGTTTTTATTCGATGTAGTATGCTGGGCGATCTGTTGGGGAAAATGTTCAGCAGTTTTTTCCTATTATTAGTTCTCATTCGGATTTCAAGATTTCAATTGATGAAATTCTTGTGCCTAATCGGTTTCGGTTAGGCTTAACTTTCGTTTCCCTTTTTCAGCTGGAATTTTCTTTGAACATCTCTTTCTAGGTTACTAATATTACCTCGTGGGATAAGGCAGTTGTTCATCGTAGATTTTCTACAAAACCCGGCGTAATTTTTGACGTCATTGCGTGGATCGTTTTTATCATCGAAAGGTGTTGCCAAAAAAGAAAAAAAAACTTCCTTATCTGCTTTAAGACGAAAAAAAAAACGAACTTCCGGATCAAAAAAGCTATTCCTACGTGTGTCAAAAGGTTTTCGAGGTTTTTGATTGCACAAATGCGGAAATTTTATGTTTTTTGCGTGAGGTTGCAACTGTGTGGACTTGAGGTGCATTTGAGAACAATGCAATCTTAGAAGCGTTTATTTTTAACCAAGCGTGGAATTGTCCTGGGCAACACTTGTTCCGGCATTGTGGCATTCGCTTTTTTTCCGCATCCTTCTCCTTTTTTGACCAATGCGGGGAGTAAGCGTTCTGTGATACGACTGTACCCAATATCTCATGCAACAAGAACGGAACACTAGCGATAGCCATGGAATTTGAAAGTTTTATTTTAGACGTGTATGATTTGTGTGGAGGAATAATTATTTTGTTCGTGTCCGTTTTCTGAATCGTGTGTCGCGAGGAAATTGTTTTTGCAAAAAGGAAACCTGGTGCAAAAGAACAATTTTATATCAAGAATGAACCATGAACAAAATTCAAATGAAATCTTTTTCTTTTTTTTTCGAAAAGCTGCTTTGTATTTTGGGGAGGGCTTTGCTCTTCTGCCGGGTTTTCTTTTTACAAGGATAATTAACTCCTGCCTATGCATACGAATGGAAGCACGATACCGTTTCATTTTAAAGTTTTCTTGTGGGCGAGGGGGGGGGAAAGCTTCGCTGTGATTTTTTGCGCGTATTGTTGCTTTCCGTCTTCCATCCTGTCTTCGCGTGACGACATATTTTTGTATAGCATGTTGCATTATAAATTATTCGTTTCGGTGGACTGAAGGGAACAGAAAAATTTTTGAACGCGTGATGAATGAAACAGAGATTGGCTTCTTTGGATTGTCTTGTGTGAATTCCAGGGTCTCAGCTATTTATTCCGATGCTTTGTGCTTTTGCTTATTTGGATCGGCTTTCTTCATAAAGCGCTTTTGCCTGTTTCTCGTTGTTGTTGCAGATGCTGAGTGGATGCGAGCCTTGATTGTGCTTTTAGTCACGCTGTCGGTCGTCGAGTGAAGAGCGTGTTGCGAAAATTTAAATGTTCGAAAGTCTCTGGGGGACCGGAGGAAGAATTAGTGATGCTTTCTTTCTCCCTGCGGCCTGATTTTTTCTTTCAAGTGGGTTTCATGTGCCAAGTCTTTCTATTTATTTTTATTCATCAATTTCTATGGCGGTGCCGTTCAAGCCTAATCTGAGTCTCGCAAATGATTACAAAATTTCGGCTTCATTTGCTTTATTGGGAATGACTATACTGTACAGCATTTTACTTGTAGCCTTGATCGTGGTTTTCAGATAACGGGTGTTTCTTCCTTTTCCTTGGAGCGCAAGTTGAGAAACTTCGCCCTGATTTGCATCGCTCATTCTAAGTTCATGTTTGTATCTAGCTAGTTCAGGGATCTGGATTATGAATCCGAACGCTGTGTATGTGTGCGAGACGTTTTAACCTTGAATTACAAAGTTGAATGAGGTTGCGACGCTGGTAACGCCTGAATGTGGGGCTATATTTAAGTTCCTGCATTTTGCATGTTCCTTTCACTTGAAAAATTAATTTTTGAAAAATTCTGGAATTCTGTGTTGATAATTTCAATTACAGTACTGTCCTGATTTTATCTTGAGAATCCTTGGGACGTACATGAGCAGATCTGAATCCCGTTGCGTCTGTCTTCGAAAGGAATCTTTCACGCTTTATTCAATATCCCGTTCTGAATCTGGCGTTGAAATGTTGTTTGCAACTGGCTTCCGTGCGATTTGTTCGGTTGGACTTGTAATTGTCACGCGAAGCTGGGTCTTCCTTATTTAGGCTGTAGCCGCAGTGCTCGTGGTTATTCATTCATTTATTTTTTTAAACTTACGATGCTCATTCAAATTATTTTCGAGCTAGGATGGGATTTGTTGAGTTTAATATGGCATTGATTGTGCATTAGCCTGAGTTACTTATGGATTTTTGTATTATTAATACCGATGTACAGTGGGTCCCCGTCTTAAAAGTCTTTGCGCCGAAAATTTCGCTTTGCGAAACTTTTTGTGCAGAGGAGAAGTTACTCAAAAAAGCAAACCCTTTCACGTAACGAAATGTGTTGACCGCAGAACACTCAGATTTAATCACATTTCGAATTTAAACTTGAGATTTTTTATATTGAAGAAAGAGGAGTATTGCGAAGTTTTTTTTTTTATATTCTTGTCTTTAAAATTCGTGAAACGCAGAAAGTGAAGAACAAGGTATTGTCAGAATTCCTTCAATTTCCTAATAAACGATTTGAAATCATCAGTCTTGCTGATAAATATACAGGTTTTATTTTTATAATTGATGCGTGTCTGAAATGAATAAAATACAGTGAGACCCTGACATCCGGACATAATTGGTGCATCAAGAGTGTCCCTAAGTTGAATTGCCCCTAAGTCAAGTCTTGTTTTCCCATAGACTTACATTGCATAATTTTTAATTGGTGTTTTATGGAAGAAATATTCTTCAGAATTCCATGAAAAAAAGTTGTTTGCCACTTGAATTTGAATTAGTGTATACATTTTCAACTCAATAAGAACATTTGGAGCATTGAATAGTGTCTCTCTGTACTGTACATTGTAACATTGGCATCTGCAAAAATAACATTAAAGTGAAAAAGAGAGAAGGAAGTCCCTCAAGGCTGGAGGTAATTTTTTTAAATCAGATAAATGGATGGTAAATTGGTGAGAGAAATCCCCAAGAAGTTTTCTTACATCAATTTCAGGGTTGGAAATATCTGTTCCTTGTAACTTGGCTTGAAATGTATTTGCAATTTTATCACAAAATGTCCCTATGTTGAGTCAGTGTCTATCAGGCCTTTTTTATTAATTTTTTCTGGGAAAATAAGTGTCCCTATGTCAGTCAGCAGGTCAAGGTGTCTGCATGTGGGGGTCTCACTGTACTGTAATTTAATACGTCACTTGAAAGGCAAACGCGTTTCACATTAAGAACTATCGTATAGCAAAAGATATCCATGAAAGTTCAGTTTTGTTATGTGGGGAATCACTGTATTTGATGAGGTTAGTTACTAATTTGGCCTTAGATTGAGTTTGTTGGGGTTTGGGTAGATTCTAGGTCATGGGAATCATTTCTACTTTTTCACTTTAAGCTTGGAATGGCTAAATACTGTAGTTAGATTTTCTTCATGGTTCTGTGCACTATTTCAAGTTGGTCATTACGCAATTACATGATTAATTTTGCTGATGAATGACACAAAGAGCTTGAGTAATTTGAATTCTAAAATTGGACTAGTCAAGTTTTAGTTCTGGCCATTTATAAGTTGTTCTATTTGCTAAGATGAGTTGGATTGCCTTTTTTGTTGACGGCAAGTCCACTGCTGTCTAATTTACAGAACACCTTATGGGTTATGGGCAACTTCAATGATGAAATTCATGGCGTTTTTATATTTTGTGCTTATGATTTCCAAGAACGTTTTGTCCCCAATTGTCTTCTAAAATGACAAATGGTGGTCCAAGGTCCGTTTGAAGCCTCTTTTGTATTCAGAAATTATTTTTGAAAATTTTCTGCATCCCTCCCGATACTTTCGAGAGTTTTGGCGGCCTAGCCTTGATGAACTGCATCTAGGCTAGGCTGTTATAAGTTATAACTGAAGCCAAGCAAATAAATTATTTTATTTTTGCTTGAATGTACAATCATTTTTTTCTCGATTCGCACTTGTTATGTTCGTTTATTTGCTTAAATCCTTGACTCGAATTCATGTAAACGAACTTGGGACAGGCATAGTTGGGTTTAGTTGATTCAATTTCGAAAGTCATTTCGCAAGATTTAATGCGGTATTTGACCTGACGAATGTGAGCGACACCTATGTCTCGAGTGTTGTAATAGAAGTATCTTAGTTGATCTGTCACGGGTTGATTTTATCTCACATTAAAGCGATGCGCATTCATGTTTTCTCGTTCTCTCGATCTGACCTGAGGAGATACTTTTGCAATATTAAACTGTGTTCTCATAGCCTGTCCTGTCAATATTATTTGAACTTATAAAATTCAGTTCATGCATTTTTTACCTGGAATTATTGACAACTGAGTCGATTCGCTGAAGGCGTTGACTTGTCTTCAGCCGATTCAAATTTTCCCGTAATTTTTTTGAGCATCCGCGGGTGCTTTGTGAAGTTGACGACGAGTCCTGAGGAGAGCATTTTTTTTTAGTGTTCTTCTCGTGATATTCTGTGTCGTGCCGACTTCATTGTCCGTGAAGAATCCGTTTCACTCTTCAGCTCAATTTTACAACCTCTGAAAAGAAGGATTGTGTACGATTCTTCTTTTGTTCGTGTGAGGCCAGGTGTAGTTCTGTGGTCTGGTTGATCGTTTTACGGTTGTGCAACATCGAACGACTCTGGCTTCTCGCCTCGCGATTCGTTGTTTGTGAACCGGAGAGGAGGAGTGAACGAATAGCATCCGGTTTTTCAGGAAGACCGGTGCAGAAGTATCGCGTTATTTTCGTCGATGGGGTGTGGAAAAAGGGGGAGCAGGGAGTTTCAGTTTTCGCTTGATTTGTTTTTTACCCATCTGGTCTTTCCCTGTCTGAAATTCGTGACGTGGAATTTCCTTGCCTCGAACGGTGATGCGATTCGAGGCGGGGTAAAAAAGTAAACATCGAAGGAGTGAGTCAAACGGTTCGGTTAGTATCGGATTTTTAAAAGAAATGTGTTTATCCTGTTCATCAGGATTATACTTCGACGAAAGCTGATTTTTCTGCATTTCTATGGAATTTATGTGCATTATTCAACGCACTTTTTTTTTTTAATCGGCTGAGTTGAGAGAGGAGAGCGTATGTTATTGTATTGCGTGTTGGACATGCAGGTGAAGTGCAGGATCGCTTTTGATCAACTCAATGTTTTAAATAAAATCAAGTCAAAAGTTGATTGAATGAATTCTTGTCATGAGAATTTTTGAGAAGAGTAACTTCGGAAGTTATCACTGAAGCATGATTTGAAACGATTTACCATATAAAATCTTGAATAATTAAGGGCAATCGACTAGGAGATCTGTAAGCGTCTGAGTGGAAATTTTTCATGTACATATAAATGTGAAATACCGTGTGTAAGACAAGTTAAGTCTTCGAAAACTTCAGGAGTTTACAGTAGTCGAACAAACGTCAAAGTAAATTTCAAACTTTAAAAAATCGTATAATCCGCTTGAAATCCGAGGATTAAACTCATATTGTGTCGTGTTATGTACCCAGCCTTCAAATTAACTTATTGATTGGATAAGATTTTTCGTAGACGTTTGAAATTGAACCAGCAAGAAAGAAACGGGATTTTTGTAAATATTTACCCTATGTACTCAAGTACTACGTGCACCATGTTTCTCGAAGTCGAGAATGAAAAGGGGGCGTTCGTTATTGGCAGGTATTAATATTCCGATAAATTTTAGAAGTTTAGGTGTGTATTTTACTCGATTACAGTTTAATGATAAATTTTGGACAAAGTTCAGCAGAAAAAAAATTGCTTTGATGGAAACAATTGAAAATTAGTTGAATTCCGGCTCAATTTATGTCCGGATTAAAATTTGGGAATTATGTTCCCCGAAATGTTGCAGTTTTTGAGTCACAAAGGAAGGGGTGCGCGTATTACTTGGGGTTACAATTTTATTTAAAAAAAAAAATGCAACTGAAAAACCCTGGTGTGCGTCGCACTCGAAGGAGCGTGTTATTCCAATAAATCAAAAATAGTACGCTTTTCTGTTGATGCTTTCCATACTCAATTTAGTATATCCCTTTGAAACTCGAGTTGACGATTCTAAGGAATTGCTGGTAACCTGGTATGATTCAAAATTGTTGGGTGAAACTTGGAGGGAATGGAAGAATCCGTGACGCATGTGTTCTAGGAAGTGGCACGGCATATTTCTATATGTGAACGAGATTCTCGTACGATTGCATTGTCGCAGGATGAGTTTCATTTTCTTCTGGGGAAAATTTCGTCGCAACGTAATCTCGAATGGAATGTACGAGGGCTGCTCCATTTCCGCGTGGATACATTTTCAAAAGTTTA